CCTGGCCTGTGCCTGAAGGGAAACGGCCAGATAGCTGGGAAGCAGGAACAGACAGGAGACAGGAAGAACAGAGCGCAGGTGCTCCGGCTGGCAGCTGAGGGCCTCCCCACAGGTCCCTCCACTCCTGGGAAAGTGCACGGGGCGCCCAGCTGCTCCACGCCATCACACGCGGCCCCAGCTGTCCTGTGGCCTGGCCTGCGCTCCCCGGAAGTCTCCAGCTGTCCTTCCCGGACCTTCAGCTCAGGTACCCCCTCCCTAGCCGGCCCGCCTCATCCATCGCTGGCTCTCCAGGGATGCGCTCAGTAGGGCTCTGAGTGACAGAACGCTGTGCCAGAAGTCAGCTCTGGAATAAAACCTAGCAAACATTTCCAAAATGTTTCCATTTTTGTAAAGATCTGAAATCCTAAGAGTGCCTGTATTAACTGGGGTGGAGGACAGGGAGGATCTATGGATGATTTGCACACACATAATTCTCCAGCCTGTTAGTTGCCTGATTTTAGAAATGAAGATCAAATTCTAGCAACATTGCTCAACTTCACAAAATTCCAATTTTGACGATAAAGCTTCAAACAAAGCCACACTCTGAGTAAAGGCGAGTCCCACACCCTAGGGCAGCAGCCAGGGTCAGAGGAGCTTCCTTACCGTCTGGTCTTTAAAAAGCATGTGAAAGGCAGTCTTCTTCTTCCAGAAGAAACCACATTTGAAATGAATCTCTGAAATGCATCCTTCAAATTTAACCCGAGAGGGAGAGGCTACGCTGGCAGGTGAACATACGCGTCCTCTGCCGACCGTGAGGAAAGATAAACGCAACAGCGCTCCGGGAGCGGCGGTGCTAAGCCTCGGACCACAGCGACACCCGGTGGCCTCGCCCAGCACTGCAGCCACACGAGACTGGCCTCGCCCAGCACTGAAGCTCCCACAGGCCCTGGGGGACAGGAGGACGGGAGGCCCAGAGCTGCTGCGGTTGCCCCAAGTCACGTAACCAGGGAGTGACAGTGCAGCGGCTACGAGCTCAGAGGCAGCGTGAGGGCAGCATTTGATCTGTCACCACAGTGAAATGGACAACAAAGCTATGGCTGAAAACCCACGCACACTTCTGGGTTTCCTTGTAAGACAAGGTATTTAGAATATATTTACTTGCACAATTAGGACTGACATTATATAAACACAATTAATATACACCGAATGATCGTCATGGAAACGGCCTATGTACTGAGACAGGGAAGCACGTACAGAATTAGTTTGAATAGAAAGATCTACCAAGGAGATAAGCCAGGAAGGGAGATGACTTTATACTTGAGGTGCAGAAAACCCCGCGTGTGGATAGAGGAGCAACGGTCTCCACATCCAGGCCCTCAGAGGGTGGAGGTGCAGGTGGGGTGTCCTGGTTTGCTAGTTCTGGGTGCTGAGGAAGAAGCACAAGCTCTGGCCTGGCCAGGCCTGGCTCTGCTGCTGACCGGTGTCATCAGGCACAGGGAGCGCCACCCTCCACCTCAGGGCGCAGCTACGAGGCTTATGCAATAAAATCCAGTGCTTTGCCTGGCATCTCACACAAGCTAAATGACTGCCTTCTGTCCCCAAACATCATACCTGCTCTCAGTCTCAGAGGAGACATGGGGTGGTCAGACTCTCCCGACGGCCCAAGCTGGCTCGTCCACAAGCGTCGGCCTCCCCAGGGGAGCGCATCAGACACGCAGGACTGTGGCCCCGCCCGGACCCAAGGGGCACCTGCCTGACCCAGGTCCCCGGGCTCAGAGGCACTTTGCAATCTGAGAAGCGCAGGCTTGGTGGCTTTGCCACCTATAGCTGACTTCCTCGAAGGCTCGTCACCTGAACCTGCGGCTCCTCTTGCAGGGATTCAATTAGCACCTGGTTGTTAGGCTGTTAGGCCGGAGAGCCCCTTGTTCATACCTCTGGGGGCAACAGGCTTTGCAGAAAGCAACCTGCAAACTAGCCTTATTTAATCAAGACTAAAGGTTTGGGGAATGTTTGTTAAGAAGTTGTCTAATACACAGACTTTGCTCTAGGAAGAAGATGCCCATTTTCTCACATTTCACTATCTCTGAGATCAGGACAGTACATCCCACCTATGGCATGTCACACACCCAGTTGGCCAAGTGGCAGCCCCGCAATGACAAAGCAGAGCAAGGAGACAGTCTCCTCAGGGGCACTGCTCTCTCCGCGAAGGGGCCGCGGTGCAGATGCCAGCAGCAACCACAGGAAAGCCACCCAACAACCACTGCCAAGACACATGCTCTCACTGCCTCCAGCACATTAATCCCCTTAGACCTCAGCCAGCTGCTACCATTTAGTGCCCACATTCTGGACTTGAAAGTGGAGACCCAGAGAGGTTAAGTAACTCATCCTGGGTCACACAGCCACAGAGTGGCCAGGCTGGACTCCAAGCCTGGGCAGCCAGGCCCCAGCGCACACTCAGCCTGTGCGCCCAACCCTTCACAGCTCTGGCTCTGAGCGGAAAATAGGCAAGGGCGGAGGTGATGAAGTCATCAGAGCGGCTGCTGTGCTGAGGGTGCTGGGAGTGGGGGGCAGCCGGGAGCAGCCTTCATGGGAGGGAAGAGCAGAGGCCACTAAGCCAAGCACGAGAGGGCCTGGGTGACAGCTGGCCCCACCTCAGCACCGTGCTCCCTAAGCCTGCTCACGTGGCTGCCCTTCAGAAAGCACACCCACTACACTGAAAAGCAGAGCGGGCAGTGCTTGTCCTTAAACTAAGACAAACTACAGCTTCATGCTGGAAACTGGCCACGACTTAGCACCACCATTTGGTGGCCACGTAAGTGTAGACAGATCTCTAAAGAGAAAAATACAGCCTCGAGTACTGAATATATAAGCATGAACGTAAAGAGACAACATATAAACACTGTGTTATGGGGCAGTGTCTGTGTTCCTCCAGAATTTGTATGTTGAAGCCCTAGCCCCCTGTGTGATGGTACTGGGAGATGGGCCCTCTGGGAGGTAGTCAGAGTAGATGAGGTCATGAAGGTGGGGTCCCCGTGGTGGGACTGGTGCCCCTGCAAGAAAAGGCACCAGAGACCCTGCTTGCTCTCTCTCCCCCATATGAGGACACAGAAAGGTGGTGTTGGGCTGCTCTCACCAGGAACAGAATCAGTTAGAACCTGAATCTTGCACTTTTCAGCCTCTGGAACCAAGAGACAAAGAAGTCTGTACTTTTTTATAGTAGCCCGAGCTGACGAGTTCATACTATGATGACAGCAGTTCTGGATCTCCCAAAATTCATACATGTACACCAAACAATATGAGAACAGAGTTAATTTCTGTAACAGCAAATGGCCTTATACCATCTCCATTCATGTAATACTTGGCAAGCTGTACTATTTAGTGGAAAGGCCAAGATGGCAGGTCCCTTGGCCTTCACAGGAGAGCTCTGGGGAACTAGGCCTCTGCAGCCAGGAGCAAAGACTTGCCCACTCCAACCTCTAGAGCTCCTGGCCTGCGAAGTCACCTGCCGGAAAGACCTCATTCAATTTTCAGAGGCAGGATCAACAATGCCTCGTCAATCCCCCCAGCCAGGCCTGTGGAGGAGCACCCAACACTTGGCGACAGGACGTGCCAGCAGTGTGAGGTAGGGGACGGAGACACACCACATTTTTCCTCCAAACTAGGTGGAGAAAACTCAATGTAGAAAAATACATATGTTTTCATTCTTTTGCTATTTAATTTCTTTCTATCTTCACTCCTGGAGGCCACTGATGAAATGATTAACCATGTCCAAACAGAAGTTCTACAAAGTGCAGTGTAACTGCGGAGAAGAGCTCCTAGCACCTACCTGTCGCCTGTCTGTACACCCATGGGCACGCAGTAATTAAGTTCCAGCCGCGCGATGTTGCCAAGCCGGAGGACGATCCCGGCACCATAAGACCAGCGGATGCACTCAGCCAGCTTACGAATATGGGCTTTGGGGCCCTCCCCTGGAAAGAGAAAAGGAGGTGTGACCGACAGCGGACGGCCATCACACAAGTCTGCCTCAGACAAGCCCTGGCTCTCTCCCTGCTGTGTGGCCTTTGGTAGGTACGGCCAGGCCTGGATATTCGAGAAGCAGGCATGAAGAGAGGCCTGGGACCATACTTACTGTCCCAGGAGCAGCCAAGCGTTCTCAATCGTCTGGCCCTGCCACATTCTGTTCCCGCCGCCGAGCATGGCATTCCCAACCCGACCGCCCAGGCAGCCCGAGCCCCAGTCTCTGAGGGCCTCGCCCACTGTGAAGCATTCCAGATGCCTCTTCACATCCCCCTAAGCTGGAGAAGGCTGCTGTGGGTCTCCCCCAGCCCTGAGCTCCTTCAGGAAGGGACAATTCACCCTCAGCTCTGTGGCCAGGATGACTGGCACAGAGCAGGTCCTCAAGAAATATTTCCTTAAGTAAATGAATCGACCTTTCCTTGTAAGACAGCATTTGATGACAATTTTGCATGCATGTTTCATTCATTCAACCAACCTTATTCCAGGCACTGTATCAGGTGTTATGGGGATTGTTAGTAAGGCACAGTCCTTCAATGGAAAGACTATGTAATCTAAAAAGATAGACACCTACTTGGCTACTGTGCTTTTAAACACAAAGTCAACAGCATACCCTAGCTATTTCTAAAGAGTCCAATTTTTACCATAGTTGAGGTTGCAGAGGTTTCCTGCATTGAGAAAAAAGTGTGTTCTGAAAAGTTCTCCAAAGCCACCCTGGCCCGGCCGGAAAGGTAACGGGGTGTACAGGTGCAGTCCACCGGCCCAGTACGCTTCTCCGCCCAGGTAGTCTCCTAATAAAGGAAGCGCGCAAAACCAGAGTCTCACAAACTTAAAATCACATTTACACCCCACAACTTATACAAGCAAGAGGTATAACACTAACGCCCAATGCTGGCCTCATTTTAAATAATCTTACTTTTGATTTTGTAATTTGCTTTAACAGAAAAAAAACCCAAAATCATTTGTGCAGTTTAGAAAGGGCTGAAATCAGAAATTTACCGTATCTGTAAAATTCACAGAAATCACTTTTTCCACAACTACAAATTACCAGATCACTTCCACCTGGCAAATGAGTTTGCAAAAATTTCAAGACCACACCAGAGACAAAATGCAGAGTATGTCTCTGCAGTTTTTGAAAGTGGCTGTACATGCCTACTGCTCACTGTATAAGGAAACAGAGTCCCAGCTCAATGTCTACAGAGAGGGGCTCATTTTTAAAGGTTCCTGACTCATGGGGTTTTTTTGGACAATGGTTATTTTTGCCAAAATTCAAGACTATAGATTGAGAGTATACATATGCATTCTTTCTAAAAATGCTAACTACTCCATTTTAACTACAAATGGCCATAACAGTAAAGTGACAAAATGCAAAAATAAAAAAACCCTAGGGTGTTTAGATTCTGTGGCAAAATATTATTTGTAAAGTATCATAGTACCCATTAATACAAAATGACAGGCCATGAAAAAGAAAAATGGGTTATCTCCCAGATTAACCTCAAGGTATGAAATGCTTATTCACTTCAGGGCTCAACCATCTCAATCCCTTTAATAGTGAAGTTTGAGAGGAAACAAATGGAAAAATAGGTCAATCGTGTTTACTTTTGTTTCCCAGCAACTGCCCGTCGCTTAAGTATTTTATTCTGGCCATAAAAACTGTAGAAAATCTGATAAATATGGGGAAGTAGGAAAAAAAAAAGGAAAATCTCCTGTAATGTCTACAATTCAGAGATAACAAGCTATCCTCCTGGTGTCTTTCCTCCAGTGAATTATAATGAATAATTAAATAAGAAAATAAAATGTGAGTCATTTTATAAATACATCATTCAGTGCTGCTTCCTTTTGTTTAATATATTGTAAGCACTTTTCTCTAATACTTTATATCCTTAGAAAATGTGATTTTGATGCCTGAATAATCACTTATGTGCACATTATAATTACTTATTCTTCATCTGTTGTCACACTGGTGTCTAAAATCTTAATAATGGACATTTACCTGTGATACATTTCCTTGCAGACACATTGAAAACCCTGTCTTGAAGTATAATATGCAAAGAGAAAAGCACACACATCTATGCGTCCAGCACAGTGCGTCTCCGTACGGAACACCCCTCTACAGTGAGCACCCGGCTGAGGAGCACGTACATGTGGCCCACGGAAGGCCGGGTTCTCTCTTCTGAGCACCACCCCCAGCCCGCACCAAGGGCAGCCACTTCCCTGCCACCCAACAGCACGGACCGCTCTAGCCTTCTCCACACCTTACACAGATGGACTCATACAGTACAATCCTCTGGGTGTGGCTTTTTGCTCGTTAGAGGGTCACCCATGCCATCATTCAGCCAGAGTCTTTAATTTGTTCATCCCCATTGCTGTACGATATTCCACAGAGTGAAGACACCACTATTTACCCATTTTATTGTTGACAGGCATCTGGGTTTCCACTTTCAGTTTGGAGCTGTTATTAATAGTCCTTGTACCCATATATATTATAGGCTCTTGATACATGCTGCCAAACTGTTTTTATGAAGGTATAGAAATTTACATTCCTGCCCATAGAATCTTACCAATGGCCTATCTGACAGGTGATTAAATGGAAAATCATTGTTTTAATTTTCAGGCAAGTAGAAAACTACTCAATTTTCACATAATCCCTACATAAACCTCGCTTATAATAAAGAACAAAACTCTCCATAAATTATGTAACTTTTCTAAAAAATAAGGACACACTATTAAAGCATTAAAAGCAAGTGAAAAGAATGTATATCTTGTACAAACACTTGGGCACAAGGTAGTCATTATTTACAATAATATAAAATGGTAACAAAGATGTCAAGTTAAGAAAAATAGGGAAGAATATTTTATAATGGAATAATATGTATCCATTTAAATGGTATTTTTGAAGTTTTAAATATGTGGAGCTACCTTGGATATAATGTCAAGTGTTAAAGAGGGTTCCAGGAAACAGAAATTTTTCACACACTGCTGGAGAGAATATGATTGAGAAGTTTTCTAGATCAACACAAAGCCTTAAAAAAATATATAATCCTTTTATCTTGCAATTCCATGTCTAGAATTTTATAATAAAACTTATAGATGAGCACAAAAATTGCTACATTATTAACTGACACTGTTTTATAATTGTAAGAGAAAATAGTCTAAATGTTCAAAACTTGGGATTTGGTTTTAAAAGATAATAGTATGGCAGTAAGATGAACTATGCAGCCATTAAAAACGGTAGTTTTCTTCTCCTGATTCACTGCTTTTGGAATGCAAAATGGTACAGCCATTTCAGAAGACAGTCTGGCAATTTCTTAACAAAGCTGAACATTTTATCTTATGATCCAGCAATTGCACTACTTGGTATTTACCCAAATGAGCTGAAGCCTTATTTCCAAACAAAAACCTACACCTGAAGGTTTGTAACAGCCTTACTCATAATTGCCAAAAATGGGACGTACTGCAAGTAAGATGTCTTTCAGGTGAAGGGAGAAGCAAATCATGGTATAGTCATACATGGAATATTATAAGTGCTAAAAAGTATGAGCAATCAAGCTATAAAGAGACATGGAAGAACTTTAAATGCATGGTGCTTAGGTCAAAGAGGCCAGTCTGAAAAGGGTATATACTCTGTAGGATTCCACCTCTGTGACATTCTGGAAAAGGCAAGACTATGAAGACAGATCAGTGGCTGCCGGGAATGGGGAGCAGGGGATGAAAGAGTAGGTGAGGCAGGTTGGATATTTATGGTGGTAAAACTTCTGTATAATCCTACAATTGTGGATACATACCATCATGCATTTTTCAAATCTATGGTTCTATACAACATAGAGTGAAGCCTGTGTGATCTATGGGATTTTGTAATAACGCATTAATATTGGCTCAACAATTGTTAACAAGTGTACCACACTAATGCAAAATGTTAATAACAGAGGACAGTAGGATGCTGTGGAAACATACAAGGGAACTCTCTAATTCTGCTCAATTTTTCTTTAAACCTAAAACTGTTCTCAAAAATAGTCTTTTAATTTTTTAAATTATGTCCTTAAGATGAAATAAGTGGCCATCAAAGACTTGTCCTTATAAAAATCCTTTTCATATGCTGTTTTTGAGGAATGATAGAGAAACAGGTTTAAACACAGTATATAAACAAAACACAAGCATAAAGATATGCGTGTCTGAACAACAAAACACGTGTGTGACTGCCAGGTAATGGGATTACAGGTCATTGTCATGGACTTTTTGCTTGGATGTATTTTCTCATTTTCTACAATTCCCTCACAATTCCCTTTCCATACATGCGGATAAGATTCTGTGTAAGGTGCTAATTCCATGGTGGTGAAATGTAAACATCTATCATTGTGGTGATGTACACAAACAAGTACATGTTTAAGAAAACGAGATGTGTGACCTTAATTTCGATTGGGTGGTACTGTGGGGAATGACAGACCTTCACTTTGTGGTCCAACGCTGTGCATGCTGAACCCTCGCACGCTTGTTGGTCCTCCGAGGTAAAACCTAGAAAGAATGGCAGATGTTGGAGAGGCCATGGGTGAAAATCTACGTAACAATGAAAGCACACAAAGCATACAGGCCAGGCTCACATTCAGCACTGGACCACAGGGGACCTCACAGGGCGAAGGACTGGGAGGTTTAGGGGTCAGAAAGAGGCACAGGAGCATAGCCAATGTCATAAAAATCTAAAATCTAAACTAACACGTCAAACTTCTGGGGGTGCAGATGAGATACAAGGCACAAATGAAGACCCCTCTTTTAGAAGAGGGAGGGGATGGACTGCCCATTACAAAGGATTTATCTGCTGTCTAGAAGAACTCATTAGGCAGCTTCTTTTCAAAATAGCCTCCGACAAGCTCCGAATGCAAATTTTTAAAAAAGCAGGATACAAATTATGTCATAGTATGATCCCAATTTTATAAAAAGAGGAAAATACTAGAAGCAAATAGACCAAAACAGAATTATTCTAATTTAAAATACTTTTGTATTTTCTATACTGAATTTTAATTAGAAAAGTGTTATGATTTAAAAAAATGATTTCCTCTTGTATTCCTTACGGAACTGGGTTATCACACTCTTTTAAATTATATCTGAATAAAACAAAAAGCACAAATTAAGAATGACTTAGAAAGCCCATCCACTTTCTATAAAATCTAACCACTTACTTGAACTCTATTTCAGACCATGGTAACTACTAAGTAACAAATTATATCGACAAGAGAAGCTGTGAATCATCTTCCCTACACGGACCCGTGGCGATGCCCCCCCAGCCTCCTGCTGGCCTATGGATGTCACATCTGACTGTGAAGAGTCCCCAGGGGCTGAAATAGCACACAGGGGGCAGGGCACTGTTTCTCTGATTTCCTGCCAGATAAAAAGCCTCTGTGAAGTTATTTATTTGAGCTTAAGTCCATAAATTTGTTTTTATTATTTGGGAGTTTTAAGCAAAGCCTTTCTGAAAACCCCATTAACATTAATTACAAAAACAAACAGCAAACTACATTTATTTTTAAGAAATCATAAATCACACACATTGTTTTCAAAGAATTAATATGATCCAGGAAGCACAGAAAATGAAGAGATTCTCCGTCCCCTACCCCTCCGTGTGCCCACTGCAACCCCATCTCCAGAGCTGACTATTGTCCCGGGCTGCCAGCTGTCTTTCCAGACCCTTGGCGCTATACACGCAAACACATACATGCATCCGGGAGCTCTGCCTATAATTGGAGCAATCAGAGAAACATGCTTATATGCAAACTTAACATAGGGACATCTATCTCATTCTTTGTAATAATTAGTCTCGTTAGAACGGTTTTATTTGAATCCAGTCATTTCCCTACTAGTGGTTTTAGAATTTTTGCTATTATGAACAGTGCTACAATGGACATCCTTGTATATGTCTGTACACTTGTAAATGTATTTCTGTAAATTAGACTCATGGAGGTGAAACTGTTAGGTCCCAGAGTTTAGAAATTTAAAACTTTTATACTTCCAAACTGCCACCTAAAAAGGCTGAACCAGTTTAAACCAAAACAACCTCTTAACTAATGCACAGAGTTTCTTGCCCTCAAGAACTAATATTAGTATTTCAAAGTAAGAAGTACATACAGCTTAACTGCTAGACGCTTTCTAAAAAGCAGGCTCCGGCAATCTTCTTTATGAGTTTTAAAAATGTCCATATTCTTTTGAGACAATAATTTCACATGTAGGAATGTCTCCTCAGAAAAGGAACCAAAGTTCATTTTATTTACAAAGTTTTATTCTTCGGTGTTACTTATATGTAAATGATGAAATATTAAAATACTGCTTATGGAAAATTCCTCATGACTTGATGAGTGGTTTACTCTTTTTAAAAAGCTTAACTTTTTAAATGGCAGGGAGGACACAAAACGGCATGCAAAATACAGCCTGTCAACAACCTATGCAGATGTGAATGTGTATGTATACACACATACATGTAACACACATCCACAGAAAATGAACGAAAAGGGAAGTCCCAGAAGTTAACGGCTGATCTCTGAGCAGCACCGCTTACTTCACGGGTCTCTGTTTTTGTATTTCTACAACGTGTACAAGTGTCTTCTTTCATACTCAAAAGAGAAAAACTTTTTTTTAATAAAGTTAACTCTGCCTCAACAAAAATGTAAAAAATAACTAAGTATGAGATATTCTAGGTATTTTGAAATTAACTTAAACATAAAAACTAAAGTAAAATGTGAAGTAGTTGCTCTCCTAAATAAACTTCTCTAAGATATCTTACAAGAAACCAACCAAAACAAGCCAAAGGCAAACATGCAAACTGCCCACTCACTGACCAATACTTACCTATCAGCGATACTTGATGGTCTATCGCCAATAGGCACCAACATTCCACCCCAGAGAGATGTTGAGAAAACCTATTGAAATACAAACAAGCGATCAGTTTCTTCCAGTGTCTCTTTCATCCCAACGAGCAGTAGCAGACAGAAGGCGCGTGCAGCCCTGGTCTCTGGCCACATGCCAGTGGGGGATCTCAGTGGCGGGTGGAAGGGCCAGGAGAACACCTAGCTTGTGCAGTGGAAGAGCTACAAAGCATCTTGTGAGTACTTGTAGTACTGGCAACTTTAAATTTCAAATAAAGACACGTTGAAGACAAGCAAAAAACCAAGCTCAAACCCAGGCAGGGTATTGGGTACAGCATCCATTCCGACACAGCTTCCATTCCGACACAGGGCAGCTCCCTCCACGGCCTGACGGAGGGAAACTGTTCTGCTCAGGACTCTGGCTTGGCCTCAAAACATAGGAGGTGAATGAAGGCAGAGGTTACAGTTCCCATATAGGAATGCGAAGGACACACAGCTTCTACTCCAAGCCTTGCAGACAGAGCTCTCTAACGGGCCAAGGGCAGTGACCGAAGGATCCTATCCTCACACCCACAGAATCCACCCACCACCACCTTTAACCAGCAGGAGGCTCTCTGGGCTCACCCACCCAGGCCTCACCCCGCAGCCCACCACATCTCCGGAGCGTGCCCCGTGCTTCTGCCCCTCTGTCCTCTGACCTGCACTCTCCTGCCCTGCAAAGCTGCACAGATGCCTCTTTTTTGGAAGGACTACAGATGGACACCGGGACAGGGGGTGGGCTGAGCAGGCCAAGCTAAACACTCAATTCTGATAAATTCAACCACCACCTTTGAGCCCAGCATCGTGACTGACGCTACAGGATAAATTGAGGGGCTGGAGTTCGGAGTGCCCTTGGGGAGCTGCCGTCACCAGACTCACATCACTCTGGGGGAAGCAGTGACGGGAACCACAGGGCAGGCCCGCCCTTGGAGGAACGCCCACCGCAGCGTTGAGAGTGGCCTGAGTAGGTCTGGCAGGGCCCGCAAGGCTTCCATGGCCTTGACTCCACTGTGAGCAGGACAGAGAGGGAGCGCCTCTTGCTGCCCTATCGTCACATCTGTCTGGGAGCAGGCCTAACCGGGGCCAACACTAGAATTGATCCTTCCCCCGTGGTAATCCCACTGTGGCTGATGTCCCTGCTGACCTCATGACCATGAGAGCCCATCTTCTCGTCACCCCCACCGACTCCACCTTTCCAGGCTGCCCCCTCCAGCCTAAACTCCCCAATTCTTCAACTCCAGCAGGACCTACACTCCGACCCTCTTCCCCATCCTCTCATGTGCCCTCTGTACCCAGCTGAAACTCCGTGGCCCATCCCTGAAACTCACCAGCTATGTGCACCTCACCTGTGTCCCTCACCTGGCAACACCCCAGGCCCGGCTCACTCCACCTGCCTGTGCCTGGCTGTGCAGCGGGAGATGCCCCTTCATGCCGGGGGCTCCTTGCACACCTGGCTGTACTGCCTCACAGGCCCTCAGAGCTCCCTGGCAATGCCCTGCCTTTCCCTACCAGCCCACCCCCTCTCGCCCTGATGTGAGTTCATGCCTGGCCCTCTCCCCAGCTGCCCACTCCCTCTCTGCATGTCTCCGTCCGAGCTGAGAACACAAAACCCCAGGAGAGACTCCAGGGCCACCCCCCATCACCCTGCCCACTGCCACCTCTGCGCACGCTACCTCTGGCTGGTTGCTGTAGAGCCACCCGCCACACTCCCTCCAGGCTGGGCCTCCTCTGCTTCGGTCCAGGGTGTCAACCCCGCCTGCTGCTCCCCCCACTCCTCACTCTGCCCGGCCTCGGCCGCCCCCTGGCTCACCCCGGGACATGCTGTGCCTTTCCAAACAGCCTAAGGCCGGCCCCTCACTCTGTTCTGGACTGTGTGGAGATGTGGCTCATCAAAGGCGCCTTCCCTGACTATCCTGAATAAGGCAGCACCTCTTCGGTCACTTCCTATCCTTTTACTGTTTTATTGGTCTTTACCCATATAGGAATGCGAAGGACACACAGCTTCTACTCCAAGCCTTGCAGACAGAGCTCTCTAACGGGCCAAGGGCAGTGACCGAAGGATCCTATCCTCACACCCACAGAATCCACCCACCACCACCTTTAACCAGCAGGAGGCTCTCTGGGCTCACCCACCCAGGCCTCACCCCGCAGCCCACCACATCTCCGGAGCGTGCCCCGTGCTTCTGCCCCTCTGTCCTCTGACCTGCACTCTCCTGCCCTGCAAAGCTGCACAGATGCCTCTTTTTTGGAAGGACTACTGATGGACACCGGGACAGGGGGTGGGCTGAGCAGGCCAAGCTAAACACTCAATTCTGATAAATTCAACCAGTTGTTCAACATTTAAGAACCACCACCTTTGAGCCCAGCATCGTGACTGACGCTACAGGATAAATTGAGGGGCTGGAGTTCGGAGTGCCCTTGGGGAGCTGCCGTCACCAGACTCACATCACTCTGGGGGAAGCAGTGACGGGAACCACAGGGCAGGCCCGCCCTTGGAGGAACGCCCACCGCAGCGTTGAGAGTGGCCTGAGTAGGTCTGGCAGGGCCCGCAAGGCTTCCATGGCCTTGACTCCACTGTGAGGACAGAGAGGGAGCGCCTCTTGCTGCCCTACCGTCACATCTGTCTGGGAGCAGGCCTAACCGGGGCCAACACTAGAACTGATCCTCCCCCCATGGTAATCCCACTGTGGCTGATGTCCCTGCCGACCTCATGACCATGAGCCCATCTTCTCGTCACCCCCACCGACTCCACCTTTCCAGGCTGCCCCCTCCAGCCTAAACTCCCCAATTCTTCAACTCCAGCAGGACCTACACTCCGACCCTCTTCCCCATCCTCTCATGTGCCCTCTGTACCCAGCTGAAACTCCGTGGCCCATCCCTGAAACTCACCAGCTATGTGCACCTCACCTGTGTCCCTCACCTGGCAACACCCCAGGCCCGGCTCACTCCACCTGCCTGTGCCTGGCTGTGCAGCGGGAGATGCCCCTTCATGCCGGGGGCTCCTTGCACACCTGGCTGTACTGCCTCGCAGGCCCTCAGAGCTCCCTGGCAATGCCCTGCCTTTCCCTACCAGCCCACCCCCTCTCGCCCTGATGTGAGTTCATGCCTGGCCCTCTCCCCAGCTGCCCACTCCCTCTCTGCATGTCTCCGTCCGAGCTGAGAACACAAAGCCCCAGGAGAGACTCCAGGGGCCCCCCCATCACTGCCACCTCTGCGCACACTACCTCTGGCTGGTTGCTGTAGAGCCACCCGCCACACTCCCTCCAGGCTGGGCCTCCTCTGCTTCGGTCCAGGGTGTCAACCCCGCCTGCTGCTCCCCCCACTCCTCACCCTGCCCGGCCTCGGCCGCCCCCTGGCTCACCCCGGGACATGCTGTGCCTTTCCAAACAGCCTAAGGCCGGCCCCTCACTCTGTTCTGGACTGTGTGGAGATGTGGCTCATCAAAGGCGCCTTCCCTGACTATCCTGAATAAGGCAGCACCTCTTCGGTCACTTCCTATCCTTTTACTGTTTTATTGGTCTTTGTAACACATACCACCACCTGCTAAATGAAACATACATGTATTTGCTCGTGGGTCTTCCTTTACTAGGATGCAAGAGCAGGAACTATGTTTCATTTACTGAGCTATTTGTAGGACCCAGACAGTGCCTGGCAGCTGGGATATATGTGGTGGGAAGGTGGGGGGATGGACGGGTGGGGGGATGTCGGGCACCCAGAGACACACACAGGAAGATAAGCAGAGGGGAGGAGCCCCACTTTGGTCTGGGAGGCTGGAGGAGCCTGCAGGAGACATGCCTGAACCTCAGTATTGAAGGCAGGGAGCAGGAGGCCAGGTGAGCAGCTGAAAACAGGGATTTACAGCTGGGGAACAAAGCCTAAATGCATGGAAGCAAAAGAGGACCCAGTCCTTTGGGGAACAAGGAGCTTAGCAGCACCAAGGCACAGGGAGAGGTGGCCAGGTGGCCAGAGGTGAGATCCAAGTCCGCATACACCCTGCCGAGAGCACACACTTCATGCAGGAGCCTGACACTGTAAGGCCTCACTTCATGAAGACCAGCACGTCTGAGGGGTGGAAAAGGGGAGGGGTGAGGGCGGGGGGGGGAGGCAGAGGCTCATCAGAAATGGCATCAATGCCACCGTGAGGAGGGCAGCAGGCACTGGAGCAACCCTGGGTAGGGGGCAGAAGAGATGGACTGGCGCTCAGTGGCTTTGAGGGGAGGCCTTGGAGCAGCCAGGAGAAGGGGAAAGGCAGGGAGTGAATGGAAGTGCAAGTCAACGGCCTCGGAAGCCCAGGTGCCAGGTACAGACTTCAGAAGGGAAGCCACAGTCCGCTTCAGGCATTCCGAGTTTGAAGAGTCCGTGAGGAATGGAGCAGAAATGTCCACTAGCCTGTGAATTGGGGCCCAGGAGGAAAGCTAGACGAGCTTCGGGAGCCCCAGCACGGAGGGTAGCTGCAGGGTGGGCGAGACTGCCCAGGGGCAGTGGGCAGAACGGCGAACCTCTACGAGCCTAGGGGAAAGACATGGTTGCGCGGAGGAAGCGGGGGGAGCCGTGGAAGGGCTCTGAGGACAGATGGCTGTGCAAAAGCAGGATGCGGAAGAACGGAGCCGAATGTTGGCGGCATCAAGGGCCGTGGAGAAGGCGCAGGGAGGGGGCCAGAAAGCTCCCTGAGCTGGACAAGAGGCCTCTGGACACACAGGGGCCAGGGAGGCAGGAAGCAAATTCCAAGCGCAGTGAGAGACGGCGCTAGAAACAGACACAGTGACCCTTTCATTCCAATTCGCCCCCACGTGTTAGGGTGGTCATTGCAAGGCAGCAACCGGGGCAGAGAGCTGGCCCCAGGCCCCCCTGGAAGACGGAGAATGAGCCAGGGCTGCCGGTGCCCGGGCCTCCCAGTCACTCACTCCTCTCAGCAAAACAGGAGAGACCACCCAAAACTATATTCAAGATTAAAAAAAAAAATTCTGGAAGTGCCCAGAGCCCAGCAGACCCAGGAAAAGAAGGGGAAGAACTCAAGAGTTTCCATGGAAGCGACTCAAGGAGGGAAGCAGACACACCTCCTCGATGGCCCTGAGCTGACAGAGGGGGAGGGGCTCTCGGGGGCCCGCATGAGATGACAGACAGGTGCCTCTCAGAGAGACTGGTTCTCACTTCTTCCCCGGAACGTCAGCTCTGGGTGAGTTTTCAGGAGCGAGCGCTTCACCAGCTAGCATTAACGTTCGGGGCTTCCCTTTGGCACATGAGCTATTCAGAAACTGAGATTCCAAAATGTGGGATAAAAATGCAGGTGACATTTTGGCTAAATACTCACTGAATCGAATAAGAGTTGTTTATTCAACTGAAGCTCAAAATCTTCTTTTATGAAGCTCACGTCCCCGCCGGTATAGCCTGCCAGTTCCTGGAGGGGAAGAACGCACGGGTCAAAACGGAGCAACAGACCGACTACCAAGGCGGCTCCACAGCCTCACCACAATGGCAGTTCATTCTGTTGTGCTGTATTTTTAAAGGGGCAACAGACCACTTTGCCTCCTGGAAGCTAAAGTAGTTCTAGATGGTTCCAGGGGACTGACAGAGACAGAAGCCCCAAATGCCCTGCATGAGGCAGAGCGTGTTACTCCCACGTGCGGGAGGACAGGGCTACTAACGCCAATGCTTTATTATAGTGCTTGCAACGCAGGACCTGGCTTGCTTGGTCTAATCAGTGTCTAGAAAAAAAAACTAGTCTTTTTCAATTTGGCACATTTCATATAAAAATGTGATTGCGAGCCGGTCCTCTGAAACAGATCAGGCCAGCTGAGCGCCAGGGCCCCACCCAGCCTGGCTGCCCACCCACCACCACCGGCCCATGAGCCACTATCTGCCTTGTGGTGCCCACTAGCAGGTGTCCAGGGAAATCAATGACACCAAGCCACAACCTTCCTCCTGGCCTAGGAAGCGACCCCAGCAGAGAGGCCAGGACCGAGTCCCCACCCCACACTGTGGAGGCACAGGACAGGATAGCAGGGTGCAGCTCCACGGCTAGGGACCCTGAGGGGACCAACACCCTGCAAGCCGCTCCGGCGTGAACTTTACAATCAAGGGAGACTATTCGATGCTGGAATGTGGCTACTGTAGGGGACCCTCTATCTCTGGGGGCCACTGCCTGCACAGGTCACGGGTGCAGAGTTACCACCTGGTTAACTTTCAGCAAAGCTCCTCTTCTTGGTAAGATGGGAGAGTTCCGAGAGTCGATGACCATCGCGTGCTGAAAGAAATACGTGGGAGATTTTCACTTCAAATAGGTTATAAAAGGACAGCAAGCACTTACTGAACGCTGCCTGCGCGCCAGGCACTGTGCTCAACAGGCACTTCCCAACTCTTAGACCATTTTCACCTGTGCAAGTGCCCTCTGAGGGGGCAGCACACTACCCCTATCCTACATGAGAGGAATGAGAGGGTGGTTTGCATTCACCAGGTGGGAGATTACGACCCCATCACGGCATTTGTTCTGTGAAGGAACTTGACACCCTGACCTTCGTCAACCCAACCAGCTTGCAACTAGAATTCCACAGGAGCTCTTGAGCACAACTTCCCCGCTGCCATTGGGGTTATTTAGAAAAAATAACATGACATGGTGTCCATAAGTTCACAAAGTGACCAGCAGGCACCATTCGGCCACCCAAGCTGTGACCCTCTCGATCCGTCCCGACGTTTTCCCAATGTACAGCATGGCTGCACCGAGGCAGCTCGATATCTACTCAGATAAGAGAAGGCCTTACCGAAAGGGACGACTTCAGTGAGTGCCCGCTCTCCTTCCGGACAGCAAACGACGCTGTCCTCGAGAGGCAGCCCAGCTCTCTCCACACTCCCTCCCACTTGACAGTGTGGCTGGTCTTCCAAATGGGAAACTGCAAGCGCACGGAGACACAGTAAACCCCTTGTGCTGTACAAACGGGAGGCTGTCCCGAATCAGAACTCAGAATGCAGCGCCACGACGGTAACAACTCATTAAATACCTAAGATAAATTTGTCAGCGATGGGCCAGATGGATAAAGAACAGGGAAGGTGGGGGAGGAAGAAACAGAGGGAGGCGGGGGGAGAGCAGTGACCAGTCGAAGGAAATACTGTTCAGGGGAGCAGCGTCAGCTGTCTAAAAGCTGCAAGCAACTTCCCGATGACAGGCTTCTCCTCCACCTCTAAGGCCATCTGACACACGCCTGACCTGGCCAGGCTGGATGACCCAGGTGACCCACATCGGCCGCCGGAGAAGAGCGAGGAGATAGGTTACACGAGCCAGGAGCACGCTCGCTGCAGGCCTGAGCCACGTGAGCTCTGGGCAAGCGGTCCCTGGCAAGTGGAACCTACCTCTTGGCCCCCTCCTTTCCTGAAGGCAGAACTGCCTCTCAGATCTCTATCTCAGAGAAATGCCCAGGCGGATTTTCAACACTGAAGGATGTTGTCTGGTGGCCTTGGGGTGTAGGACAATGATGTAACTCTTAGAAGGAAGCCCGGTCACAGCACCATCCCCAGAGTGAGTCCCTCACTGGGCGTTATCTGGAGCCCTGCAGTCTACAAGGGAACATGGGGCACTGAGGATGGACAGGGAGTAGGCTACAGTCCTTTCCTCCAGGAGCCCACCTCTGGGTCCTCTGTCCATTTCCCTCCTCTCCTCCAGGTACCTGCCTGTACCTAGATCTAAGACACGCCTTTCAGCTCTGCTATTCCCTGTGGATAAACAAGGTGTTTCTACTCTAGGCATCTTTTCCTTTAGGCTTAGAAAAGACAGGTAAAAAGGGACCCAGGGGAAAGATGGGGCAGAACCTCCCACACGGCTGGCTTACTACTGCCAGAACAGGGCTGGGGAGAGCAGTTTGTGTACACAGGGCACAGGGCAAAAAGGTCCCTGAAGGCTACTCCTTCAGACAAGGAGAGACGGCTTCACCGAGAAAGAAGTGCTCACGTCTACACCGGAGCCTGCCACCTGGTCTACCTCAGGGTGCAGTCTCCGCGACCCTGGTCTTCCAGGAAAAGCAGCCTGAGCGGCCCATGGGTCTCGTGCCTGAGCTGAACAGCACAGGGTGGATGAAGCCCAGGAAGGGCCCTGGGGCTTCAGCGTGGTTCCCAGAGCAGCCACGGGGAGGAACTGGGAGGTGCTGCATTTCCTGGGCCCCACTCCCAGACATGCTGATAGAGCAGGGCAGATGCAGCCATTAAAATTTGCATTTCTAACCAGCTCACAATGAGGCTGATGCTGCTGGTCTGAGGAGCACACCTGGGGAACTAACCCCACACATTTAAGTATTTACATTTCATTAACTGAAGCCTGGCACAGGAGGGAAGGACTACAGGAAGGGAAAAAAGAGCAGGTTTCATCCTAAAGCCAAAGAGTGATCAAAGGACAGTGATTCCATCTGTTGCATTTAGTCAGATCCTGCTAGATGTAAACTGAAGGTAAACCACTGATGAAGGCTTTCAGTAGCCTGGAGCGACCGCTCACTACCGGAGGCTATCACAGCACAGACAGGCAAAGACAAACGGACGGCATCACAGGCAGTCAGGAGCAGGGAAGAGATCTGGCGGGTCAGAGAACTCGGCCAGGAGAGAGGCACCGGGCTGGGAGGCAGCAGACAGGAGGGCAAAGGCTGACCCCAGCAACGCCCACCGCTGCAGACATCAGCTCACTGCATTGCCCGCGTGCTCCACGCCCTCCCCAGCAGCCCCCTCTTGCCATCTTTGGGAATCAACTCAATAGGTGCTATTTCCACTGGAGAGCACAAGGGGGTGATGGAGACGCTACTCACGCTGTACTCGGCGGACACCCCTCTGTCTGTCTCCCGAAGAGAGCTCCAGGGGAACTGGCCGGTCACTTTATATAAGTTTACAGAGAAACTAGGAGACAATGGGACATTGCTTTAAAAGCTGAAACTGTGACTGTAATTTGTACACATTCAAATCAACAGATTTAAAAAGACACTTCTGGGGCCCATCTCCCCAGCATGTGACACTGTACAAGTGGCAGCTGATTCTGCAGTTTCTTTTCACAAGCAAGGCATCTATGTTAACTTTAAACCAGGCTACTGTGCTCAACAGTCTGTTTGGCTTCCTACTTTCTGTCGAAGTTTCCCGGGTGTGGTTTGAAGAAGGACAGGCCATACGAAGTTTCTTTTGTTCCATAGGAAAACTGAAAAGTCACCTTTTCCGCCCGGCCTAGAAGATTAGGGAATTTGAGGCCGAGTACCTAGGAGGGAAAGAAAAATAGTGGTGAACTGAAGAAATGCTAACTTTTAAGAAAGAGTACGCGGGCTAAGGGACTCTACGAAAACCAAGACACCAGTGTAGGCTCCAGGTCTGGCCTTTCACCGGTAATTGCTTTTACTCTTAAAACATGCCTTTGCTGAGTGCACACACCTGACTAACTTGCGGGCTAGGCTAACCTCAGTAACTGTGAGGCTCGGGAAATCAACAGAATGGATTTGGAGTTTAGGGGAATTTGAACAAGAAGCCTAGTACAAACGTTCCCCAAATCATTCCTATTTAACTAGAGGTTAATATTGTTTTCAGACATTGAAACACATAATAATTCTAGGAAGATGAATGAAGAATCACACATTATCTTACAAATAAAGATTAAGGCATAGGAAAGTCTTGAAACTACCATCAGTGTTTAGAACAGTCACATTTTAAAAGCCCATAACGGAAAGTCCCACTCCTGGGAAGGAAGCCTGAGCCATACCATGCTGCCCTCGTTGTTCCCGACCATGGTGTTGTAGCTGCCCGTGAGTCTCCTCAGCTCCGTCACTTCAAAGGTGACGTCCAGCCCATTTGGAAGTGCATCATCACCTAAGAAAATGAAAAACACCGAACACTAAAACAGCTAGAATACATAGCTTTATCTTAGGTCCCACTGCGAAAGACAAAACGCAATCTGAAGATTCTTTTTATTTCATAATCTCCTTTGGAAAACACACCCCTAGTTTAAGTTCAAGAGCATGCCCACACAAAATCACAATGCTCCTCTAGGCCAAAACACCTGTATCTCATTCCTGTGGTAGAAGGTATAAAAAACAGACTTTGAAGGAACAAAAACAGCAACAGACTCACTGAAGCCAAAAATGGACTAACAGTTACCAAAGGGAAAGGGACTGGGGAGGATGGGTGGGAAGGGAGGGATAAGGCGGGAAAAAGGGGCATTACGATTAGCGCACATAATGTAGGGGGTTGGGGGCACGGGGAAGGCGGTATAACAAAGACAAGTAGTGATTCTACAGCATCTTACAACGCTGATGGACAGTGACTCTTACGGGCTATGTGGTGGGGCCTTGATAATGGGGGGAGTCTAGTAACCATAATGTTGCTCATGTAACTGTATATTAATGATAACAACAAAAAAAGTCAGATTTTGCTACTGGAACAAAATAAAAGCAGATTATCTGTTTAAGCACACATTAGTTACTAGAAGTGTTTGTTCTCCTACTAGGGAGGTCCTTGAAAATACTTGGGGCACCGCTGAATTCAACTGAAATCAAAACACAGAATTCACATGACAAGAGGGATTCATATAATCCTGAAAGATCAGCAACAAATGCAATACAAATATAAGAGGTGATTATTTTTGTCCCTCCTCCAGCTAGGACTGTGGCGCCTGCGGGATGATCAGTGTCTGAATTTGCGCTGAGGCCTCTGTAGTCCCCGGGAGCCCTGGGGGGCAGGGGGCAGGGCTGAGCACCCGCAGAGGGGAAGCCGTTGATCCTGAAACCCTGCTTGGACACTGGCCGCCTCTGGGATGCTGTCAAACTTGAGGATGGCTGGGCACTGGCTTCTAAATCTCAGATGCAGCTCCTCTAGGGTGGAGCATGTCACCATTCTTTTCTTTTCTTTTTAAAATTAGTACAGTTTATTGTTTAGAGCAGGTCTCGCCAGTGGGTTTCAGCCCCAGGGAAGTTCACTCTTGATTCAGTCAGACTGAAAAACGACAATGGAATGTTCTTATGGTGAAAGAAGTTTACACCCAACTTTATTCCCACGGTGGCAGGCCAAGCACAGAATCCCGTCCACTCAAATTCTTCCTTCGAGGAGCAGACCTACTTCCCTCGTGCTCTCATTGCTTGAGCCCGAGTATAGGAGCAGAGCATGGAGTGCTCCACGGCCTGAGGAGGGGGCTGCGCCCCTCCTGGAAGAACCTGTGGGTTGCCAAGTCTATTTTTTGGGGGGCTTTCCACCAGCTTTCAACCAGGCGGGCTTTCAACTGAGGAGAGGCTGATGTCTCTGGCATCACCAGGGCCTCCACCCCCACCTGTTCGTCAAACTTCGGCTCCCATCTCTGGGGCTGACGGCCCCACCACATCCGTCCCCTGCCCCACGGCACCTGGCGGCCTGCGCCCCCGCGCTACCGTGACACCCTTTACCGTCTCCACAGCACCTCGTAGTGATGCCATTTCAGTCACCAACAAACTTTTTACCTCGACAGCACCTCGCAGCTCACGTTCTCGTGCCGCCTCTCCTCATGCTCCCTGCAGGAGGGCGTCTTTCTCCCTTACGGCTTTTCTCGATATTGTGAGAAAAAAATCTCCCCCCCACTTCTGCCGCCTCACAGGCACTGTTTCTCTAAGGAATTCCCTGTTCTGCTGAGGGCCACCCCTACTGCCTCAGGGGTCACCTCCACCCCTTCCCAGCCTTGGGGTGGGGCCCAGTCCTCTAGGAGGCAAGCCTTTATGTACATAGGACCATATGGCCACTGGGGGACACTCAAATGTCTCCCCATCCACAGGCACAAACGGCTGAAACACTCCTCCATGGAGGGCAGCCTATTCTTTTTCTTGGTCAACAATGAATCCTGTAGGTGCTGGCAGTTATCCTGCCAATGGGCAAGTTCGCTATGGATTCAATGTGACCAAAGAAATTGACAGCAAACCGTTTTTGGGGTGAAAGGGTTATACCCAACTTTATTTCCAGGTGGCAGGTCAGTCACTAGAATCCCATTCACTCAGAGCGAGTCTGCATGCAGCAAGCCAGTCTCTGCCTCTGGGCCTCTGTCTCCGCACAGCCGTCTCAGTCTGTCCTCAGCGCTGCCACCACTCCAGCCTCTGCTCTGCTCTCCTGCAGCCCTGCCACCGTGTAGCGTGCAGAGCGCTGGGCAGAGCTCTTTATATAGAGTCAACAGCCATGTATTGCCCGCAGGTGTGCAGTGAGCTAGTCAACCAGGGCCAGGTGAGAATCCTGGCCACAGGACTTCTCATTTATCTACAAGCCCCAGGGAAGTTCACTACGGATTCAGGGAGACCAAGGAATGACAATGGAACATTCTTGGGGTGAAAGAGCTTATACGCAACTTTAGTCCCACAGTAGCAGGTCAGTCACTAGAATCCCGTCCACTCAAAGCGAATTGGCACGCAACAAGCCAGTCTCTGCCTCTGGGCCTCTCTGCCCCCACAGCCGTCTCAGTCTCTGCTGTCCTGCAGCCTTGAAGCCCAGAGCACTGGGCGGAGCTCTTTATGTAGAGTCAGTAGCAATGTATTGCCCACACATGTGTAGTGAGCTAACTGACTAGGGCCAGGTGGGAATTCTGGCCAAAGAAACCTCACTTTAGCCACACCGACCCTCCTTCACACATTTCCCCTATTTTTTATATAATTGACAGCTTGCACTGGTGTGGCACATCTGTTACAATTGGTGAACCAACAGTGAGACGTTATTATGGACTAAAGTGTGATCTGCAGTAAGGTTCACTCTTGGTGGTATACATTTTAGGGGGTTTGACAAATGGATGCTGCTGCATACCCACCAAGACAATCACACAGAAGAGTCGCTGCTCCAAACCACTCTTCTTTAAAAGCTTCCAGGGAATTCTAATGCATGGCTCAGCATGCAGAACCAGTGACACAAGTGGGCCAGCAGACTGCATACACGTCACATTTACATGACAGGAGGGTGCTAAAACTAAGTGCCACCAGCAAGGAACACTTAGAAAAGCAAGTGTATGCACCAAGCAAAGCACCCCAGAGGGGCAGCATGGGCCACGTCACTCCCTCACTGGACCCAGGGCAAGTAACTTAACCTCTGGGAGCCTCAGTTTCCCTAGCTGAAAACACTGGCTAAAACAACGGTCCCTTCAGCAGGTGTTGTGAGGACTCACGTGGGCAGTACACGGGGCCTGCACTGCAGACCGTGGCAGAGGCGTGGCCGCTGCTCCTGCTCAGAGGGCACAGGAACAGTGGTCATCTCCCAGGGTGCCTTCTCCCCTTCCTAGTCGAGCAGGTCTCAAACGTGAGCTGCCTCACAAGCGGGAGGGCTCCTTGGGCCAGATGGCTGACTGGCCCCACCCCCAGTGTCTGCTTCAGGTGAATGTGCATTTCTAACAAGTTCCCAGGTGTGAACAGTGCTGCTGGACAGGAACCACATTCAAGAACCATTGTTCTCATCATGATCTAATCTCCACTTCTTAGCTGGGTTCGTCGCCACCCAGACACTATTTCTCAGCCTCTCCTACGGAGGTGTGGCCTTGTCAGTAAGTCCTGGCCAATGGGATGAGAGGGGAGTGCTGCGTACAGCACCCGGACAGGCAGGGCATCTCACCTCTGCCTCCTTCCCCCCTTCCTGACGCTGACGGTGCACAGCCAGTACAGGGACCAGGGAACCCTCAGGATGATGAGATGACAGAGCACCAGGGGAGAACCTTGCCAGCCCCAAGGAGTTCAAGCAGCAGAGTGTGACACCAGCCCCAGACATCCTTCCAACTGTCGTGGAGAGTCAGAGACTTCTCGCCTGCCTAAGCCACTGATATTTGGGGTCTCTGTTAGTCATGGATGATCTATATTACAAATAAAAAAAATACCTTTCGTTTATATAGCGTTTCATATTTTTGCAAGCATTTCTGCATAGCTTCATCTACATTTTCTTAATATTGTCCGCCATACGATCTTGAAGAGTTCACCTGTTCACTGATTCATTCCAAATGCCCATTTTCCAACAGCCGTCTAGTGGACTCAGAATAAAGCCCACCACCAAGTGGTCAGTCCTCTGCGGTGGAGCCTCCTGATCACTTTTCTGCGGTGCCTTCCATCGTTTCGTGTCTGCCCCTGGGCTCCGTGGCACACTGGGGCCCACCCTGGGGCCCTCCCTTTCCCTGGCCACTGGGCCTGCTGAACACTCTCCCTTTCCCGGACGGTCTCCACTCCTCCCCCACGCTGGCCGTGCTCCCCAAACTAACGCATACACGACTTCAGGTCTCAGGTGCATCTCAGCCCGTCCAGGAAACCTACAATTCCCCTTCCCCGCTGCCCCACCCAAAGAGACTCAGCCTACTCCCCCAGCCCCTTAGAGCACCACCTATCAGCTCATCTGCCATCGCCTATTTGCCTGGCACCCGGATCCTGCTCCACTTGGCCAGAAGCTCCTTGAGAAGGAGACTGCACCTCGCTTGCTCCTGTGTCCCTCCCAGGCACCCAGCACAGGGCCTGACCCCAGCAGGCATTCACTAACAAGACAATAAATGTTGGTTAAGTTGGCAGACTTGCCCGATATCACACAGCAAACAAGCAAATGAACAAAAACTAAAGCTGACATGGGATTCCTAGTGCCCACCTCTTTCTAAAGCACACACTTGAATGGAGTCCTGCTGGGCTGGGCTATCCCGAATGATGCCTGGCTCCCTCCTCGGGGACCCTTCTCACAACCCCAGTACCCACCCAGGGATTCACACAATATCATCAAAGCTCCCCGTTCTCCCCTGACCTGTTACAGAAATCCAGTTACTACCAAGACCTGTCCGCCTGATAAACCTCCAAGTGCTCAGTCTGTCTGGCCACACAATAGCCTCTGTGACCCTGGAGGGTGGAAGGAGGGGGATCAGAGATACTATACACAGTATGTACCTTGACATGTATCAATCAAAACATCCACTTGTCTAAATATTCCTAGACGAAGCAATTTTTCACGGGCTTCATGAGATTTCCGCATTACCTGTAAGAGAGGAAAAAGAGAATGTATTCCTCTAAGATACAGAAACCTGAGTGGTGCTTCTACTACCAGGCTGGCAGCTTACCAACTGGCGCAAAGTCACTGAGAAGAGAGCGCCCCTAAGGACAGACGGACAAAGCCCTTAAGGGAGCAAAACATTCCTATTCAGAAGCACAAAACGGAGCCAAGGGCAGAAAACACAGTGCATAATATAATCCCTTTTATGTAAACAAAAAAACTAATTAAAATGTACAGCCTGGGAGGGATCATGACCAACCGTTAATAGCAGTTTGTCTGGGAAAAAGACTTTCTGTATGTGCCTCTTTGTGTTGTTTGAATTTTCTAACCACTGTTCTGCTTTTTTTCCTCTTCAGTGTTGACGGCAGTCCTTCTGCGCCAGGAGTCCTGGCGGAGGGGCAAGTGGAAGAGAAGGGGAGGCAGGCAGGGCTCTCCGGAGGCAGAGCGGGAAGGCCCTCACGGAAGCGATGCTTAGATCTCGTCCTGCAGGTGGAAGGGGAACCACTTCGGAGGTTACGGCAGGGGAAGGACAGGATGGGATTTCCTTATGAGAGCGCACCGGTCATGCGGCTGAACACGAAGCGGAAGGTGCGACCGCGGGAAGCGGGAGGTTCTTGCAGCGGACCCAGCGGCTGGGAGGGAGGCTGATTAGGCGCAGGCCGTGGTGTCAGAGGGGAGGACGGGCTGCACACATTCAGACAGGGGCCCCAGGACAGTAACTGATCGGATGCAGTACATGGGCAGCGAGCCGAGACCACAAAAGTTAAAGTCCCAGCTCTGGGCTAGCGTGTCTTGGGCCCTCGGGTAAGTCGGGGATGGAGGTGGAAGGGGAGGCAGGGTGGAAAGTGACGATGAACTCAGTTCAGTTTTCAGCCACACAGGGTTGGAGACGTTCGCGGCGAGTCCGGGAGGAAATGCTGAGTGGGCGTATCCTCCGTGCACATTCAGGGCCAAAGCTCGGGGGACATGAACCAGCTGGAAACAGGCTGGGAAGCCCTGATGCAGAGGCTGCAGCTGAAGCAGGGGTGTGGGGGACATCTCCCAGGAGACCGACCCTCCTGGAAGACCAACACTGAAGGACAGGCTGACATGAGCCTAGAATGAACGTGATGAGCGGAGGGAGGCGGCCTAGGAGAGTGTGGGATTCACGGGAAAACAAGGCAAAGGAAACTACTGAGAAAGAGGAAAGATAAACTCAATAAAGCAAGAAAAACAAATCTGACATAAGTGACAAAGTGGTCACTTTTTTTTTTAATGCAGGAGCTTTTATAAATTGACAAAAACTCAGCAATCGGAATGAAAATAGGGGACGCCAACAGGTAATTCACAAAAGAGAAATATGAATGACCGGCAAACACAGAAAAGGTGCTCAATCTCATTTACAGTAAAAAAAGGGCAAACTACAATGAGACAGTGTCTTTCACGTAACAGACTGGCAAGAATTTTAAATGTGTGGTAACATCCAATGTTGAGGAACAGAGACCCTTTCGTCTAGTACTGGAAGGAGTGTGGGCCGGCATGATGTCTGGAGAGCAATATGGCATCATCTGTTAATTAGGCACCATACCCTTTGACCCAGTAATCCCACTTCCAAGGTTTTAACCTGCAGATATGATGTCATACATACACAAAGATGTTCACTGCAGCATCGTTCGTAAGAACAAAACAATTAAGTTAAATGCCCGCCAATAAGGAACAGTACACAATGAACTATGGGAGCCCACACAGTGAGGTGCCACACAGACTGGTGAGTGCTGATGGGGACAGACCTCCACAAGGTCAAAAATGAACGGTGCAGAACAAATATGGAGAATGGGGTTACTGTTTAAGGGCTCTGTGTTTATACAGGTGTACAACGTACCTGGACGGACGCACAAGAAACCCTCAGCCCTGAGTACCTCTGCAGAGGGGCACTGCACTGGCAGGGGAAAGAAATGCCTATGTTTCATTTCAGTACCCTCTGTACCATTTCATTGTTTCATACTTCTTAAAAAATTGTGCTTATATATTAATCTTTTAAAGAAAATACCAATTTTTTTAAAAAGTGGAAATGGACACTGCTGAAAGGTCAAGTGAAACGGGGATGGAAAGGAGACGGCTGGCCATGAGGGAGCTGTCGGAGCCTCTGCCCGGATATTCTGCACATGTTCATGTGGCTCCAAGAGCAGAAGGACAAGAGGAACCCACAGAGGAGGAGGAAGGTGGTGGGAAAATGGAGCAGGGGCCCTGAGGAATGAGCGGGAGTGGGTGATGACCGAGCGCCCACCCGACAAGGTGGGTGAGGGCCCCAAGGGTAAGCAAGCACAGAGCACGTTTGATGTAACTATGAAATCTTCAAGACATCATCTCCTAAGTCTGAATTTGATATTACAGATGATTCTGGCAGATCTTTGGTGGACCTTGTTTTATGTTTTGAAATTTAAGGAGGCATAATGGAATTTTGTGCCTAGACAAAATGTATTTACTAAGCATTCAGATTAAATATAATTAATATGTGCATGTATTGCTAACCATAGTATATACTCTGCCTGCACAGTTTGCACAAATTTAATATACTTTTTTACATAAAGGTGGGGCCCGGGAAGCAGTTAGCACTTAGCACCTCAGCTTCTCTCTCAGCGCTGGGGTGGGGTGGAGAGCGCAGGGTGAATAGCCATGGAAACGGGGACACCGGCTTCTCCAGGATGAGGCAGGAGGCGACGGTGAACGCAAACGACTCTGCAGGAGGCACCCAGGGAGCCGAGGGGGCTCGGCCTGGGGTCGCCAATGCTCCCTGCAGAGTAGGGGGCAAGGTCACCAGCATGAGGCTGGGGTGGGGTGCTCAGTCATCTGAGGAGGCATGAGACTTATAGGTTCTTTGGAAGGGATGGAAGCAGAGAGGTTACTTGCCTCGATAAGGTTTTTGGCCTTAAAAACCTCTCCAATTTCACACATGATGATATCATCTTTCGTCCTTCCAAGTCCATCAAAATGAACGTGCTGAACAACCACCTGAATGTGACAAGGGAACACTGATTATTAAGCATGATACAGGGCAAGAGATTAGGTATCCAAGCTAATGACAAATGTCTGAAAATTAATTTCAAGGACTTTTTTTCAAGTTATATGATCCATACTTCTTAATTCCAGACTTTGTATTTTTCATGCCTTTTTGAAAAACTGGTTACTTAAACTTACCTTTCACTAGTCTGTACTCCTGTGAATGAGATCTACACGGTCTCTGTAGACAGATGGCCAAGAACCACACCAGTCCTAAACCCCGGCAGGCCATAGAGGGCCTGTATGCCCTTCCCAACATGCTCCCCATGCACTGGCCTTGGGGGCCGCAGACTGTAACCCCTTATTTAATAACCTCAGGCATTTTGGTAGAGATCTTGCATAGATTTCTATATGGCATGATAAATGCTGACCCAGAGCCTCTCACCTATCTGTAAATGCTTAATTAATTAATTAATTCAACAAAAATGCACTGATTACCTACAAGTTGGTGTTGTTCTAAACAGGAAATACAACATAAATTCCTGCCTCAAGGGGGTTATATTCTAAATACAACATAAATTTCTGCCTCAAGGGGGAGAAAAAGGCAATTACATAGTATATATAGTACAGCTGCCCCTTGAACAACATGGATTTGAACTGTGTGGGTATACTCAGAGTGGATTTTTTTCAATAAATGTACTGGAAAATTTTTTGGAGGTTTGCAACAATTTGAGATAACATTTTCTCTTCTCCTGCTTATTTTATTGCAAGAATACAGTATATAATACATATGACACACAGAGTAAGCATTCATCAACTGTTTATGTTATTGGTGAGGCTTCTGGTCAGCAGTTGGCCATTAGCAGTTAAGGTTTGGGAAAGTCAAAAGTCGCACATAGACTTTCAGCTGGGTGGGGGATCAGTGCCTCCAAGCCCAGCATTTTCGGAGGGTCAGTTACAGATGGTAATGAGTAGCCGAGAAAAATATATCAAGAATATCGGTGAGCATTCAGGGAATACACCTTAGGGAAATCAGAATACTGCCCTGAGACCTGAAGGAGGTAATAAAAATGTGTGTACAGTTCTTCAGCTGTGTTTAAATTTTAAAGGCAACAAAGTTCAGGAGAAGTTTCATTGAAGACCCAAGGTCTTCTTTCTAGGCACAAAGAACACAGCATAACCTTAAGCATAATTTGAGTTTGTTCTTGAAATACTTTCGGGTTTTTTTTTTAATAATATAAATAAATAAGGTGTTTGTTTCAACTTCCCACAATAATTACCACCAAGAGGGAAGTATTTCTTTGAAACCAGAAATGATTTTTCCAGAAGTCGCCAGCCTTTCTGAAATGTAGTTGGCTGCGAACTCCCCTTTGCTGAAGGCACCGCGACAGTGACTCCCCCCGCACCCCTAGTGGGTTACAGCGCTGAGTGTCTCTAGTAGCAGCCCCACTGAGCCCTCCAGCAGAACACTCACATCCTTGTTTTCAAGAATTTCCTGTTTGGCTTCAGGTTCAACCTCAACGAATTCAGCTTCTTCTCCTAATGCTCCAAAATCAGGTCCACTGGCTGGAAGAGGCTCTAAACTCTGAAAGGGAGGAAGGACAACAGGTAAATGAACTTAGAACATATAAACTCAAAACCTTTCAGTTTTGTCTTTAGATGGTGCTCCAGAACACCAAGCACCCTGGCTCCCTCTGGTGAGCGGAGGCAGGGCAGGGTGTGTGGCACAGGGCAGATGTAAGCTACTGCCCGTATGCAAGCCTCAGGCTGGTAGTGAGCTCACTGGCATCCAGTGTATTATTAATAAGTAAAACAAAGACGAAAATTAACTACCTAAAAGGGTCAGGCACGAACCTATGATGAATGTGTCATGAACTGAGGACTCTGGGACTATAGCTATCTAGTTCTGCCCACCTGAGGCCCATAGGGGCCACAAAGACATTTATCAGGGAAAAGAAAAAATTTTTGCTTTCTTGTTGTTACAGAAAGTACCCTAATTTTTTTATTCAAAATTGGATAGTCAAGGATAATTATATTGACAAACCAAATTACTAAAACATGTTTTTATGCAGCCTGATAGATTGCTTCCATTTAGAAAGTCTCATTCATACATTAAGGGGAATTGCATATGTTCATATAATAGGAAGAAAGTCACTTTCTTCAATATGAACTGATATTATCTCAAAAGCATTAAAGCATCTTCAGAATAAGGATTCTGCTGGCTATGCCTAGTATAGTACTTCTCAGGAGACATAATAATATAATAGTACATATAATAACATAATATGATATTATGTACCATATATATGCTTGCTTGGCCACAGGGAATTCCCAGATGCTCCCAGAAAGGGATTCAAAAGGTCCAGTGTGACACTAGGTCATTGTACAAACAGGCGCATTTGGAGAAAACTGTGCTAACCAGTATCTGGCTGCTTCTTTACTCAACCAATTCTCTATAAATAAAGCATTCTTATGGTACACAGAAGTGTTGGTATCTGCAGTATGTGGAGCAATGGGGACTCTAGGCCAGTACAGCCTTATCCCGAGAGTACTCAACAGTCTCTCGCCAGTACATCCTCTATAATGTCACTGATCTCTGGACCGGTAATGGCCCCACAGTACCATGTCCTCTTTCCCATCCTGCTCTAAAACACCCTGATGGTCCCCCAAAGGGCCGACGGGGATAGAAGCCAAGCAGATTCCTTGGAGGCACACAGGGAACCAACGGCAAGGCCCGCACCTGTACTTGTTTTCATCCCCCCACCGCCTGGCCCACACAGCCATGTTTGTGCATACCCTGATCTCTCTGCCCAGAATACTGCCCCGCTAAAACAGCCCACCTTATGCCAGCTCGTCCTGAGTCATCCCTGGCAGCTTCAGGGAGAATCAGTCTCTCCTTTACAGAGACATCTCTTGACTGCAGAAGTTTTTGACCTTGGCAGATACTCCTCCTTTTTCTTATTTTTACCTGCCCTGGCACAACAGAAATACTCAAATATTTGGGGAATGGGTGAGTGATTATTTTTTTCTTTTGTTTCTTCATTAATAAATGTTTACTGAGTGCCTACTATACACTGAGAGCTGGGAATTCATTAGTGAACAAGACAGACCAAGTCCTTGCCTCATAGTGGCTGAAGAGGAATATTTATATAAGTGAAAAGGGGAAGATGATACTGGATGAAGAACATACCATGTATTTCACAATCATTCTTTCATTTTTGGGGGGTAATATTTAAAAAACTGAACCATTACTATATTTCTAAAAATATTAACAAATTAAAATAGTAACTTTTTACCTGTGTCATTTCAGGAATGTGCTTCCTATATTTATGTTTAGATTATGTAAAAAAGTATATTAAATTTGTGCAAACTGTGCAGGCAGAGTATATACTATGGTTAGCAATACATGCACATATTAATTATATTTAATCTGAATGCTTAGTAAATACATTTTGTCTAGGCACAAAATTTCATTATGCCTCCTTAAATTTCAAAACATAAAACAAAGTCCACCAAAGATCTGCCAGAGTCATCTGTAATATCAAATTCAGACTTAGGAGATGATGTCTTCAAGATTTCATAGTTACATCAAACGTTGATGTCCTCAAGTAAACTGTCTACTAATATGGGTTCATTCATTCACCAAATATTAATAATCTACTGTGTGAAAAGCACTGAGAAGATCTTCACCCTCATATAATTTACCTTCCAGTGTCTGGAAGAGCAGGCATGGAATAAGTATTTGGTGAAAGGAATTAAAAGAAATCCTCGTATCTAGTTTTTAACCTTTAATCTGATCAGTCTACCAGTCAGCCAACAGGTTTTACTGAACACCAGGCGCCAGGTTCTATGCAAGGCAGTGCTAACTGAAGGGACAGGACATGAAGTAAATTTAATGAGTTATGAAGAACATCTTTAAAGTGATGTAGACTAGAGTGAGGTAGAAATACCAGAAAATGTATCAGATTTGAATGGTAAATACTGTTTCACAAAACTTGTTTCACATATGCATGAAGGTACTAGGTACCAAATGTAAAATTTATTCTTCCTGTGAGTCCTGACCGAAAAACTCAAATAATACCGGCTAGTGGAATGTAAAGGTCAAATTAAAGAACCGACAACATTTTTTGGCAATACATTAATCAAAGGAGCAGCAATTTCAGCATCAAAGGAGCTCAATAAAAGCAGAGACTGTTTTTCTTTCTGTATCCCTAGCACCTGCAACAGTGCCAAGCATACAGTAGACCTTTCGTAACTGTAACTTGAATAAACAAACAAATGCCTACTTTGTTCAAGATGCTACAAGGGATGCAAGCCAAGTATGATGCAGTTCCTATTGTAACATCTAGAAATTCAGAATCTAAAAAAAAAAACAAAACGAGACAGAAGTGCAAACAGAACTAAAACAGGGCACTAGAGGAAAAATGTGAAGGGGAGATAAAGATGAAGTGTATGCAGGAAGTGACACGAATTGAGTTCTGAAGGATGGAAATATTCTGACAGCTAATGGTGGGTGGTCAGGGCGGCTCATGTGTGCAATAGTACAGCCCACAGAGTGTACCTGAACAGCAACGGTGTTTCATTTGAATGGAAGATCTGAGAAGGGGAGTTAAGTCCAGTTCTGCATGCCATGCTGGGAAGTCTGTGCTAACTTCTTCGAGAAGCTAACGGGGAAACAAAACTTCTGAGCAGGGTTCGTGTAACGATCCCTGTTGTAGCACAAAAGCAGTGCTAAGGGCTGGGACTCAGGTCTGAGATTTGGAACATTGTGGGGGTCTAACAGTGTGCCCTTGGACAAAGATTCCTTCTGGCTCTCGATTAAAATTACAATAGACGAGGGCAGGTGGGCAAGCTGTTAGTACGCGCTGAACACCCCAGTTTAAGTACTGCAGATGCATTTGCGTCTCGTAACTCTCGCAACAGATTAATGAGCAAATACGATTACTCCTCCACTTGAAAAGAACACACTAAAGATGGAGAGGTTCCGTCTCTGCACGTCAGGAGAAAGGGGGCCTCCTAGCTGGGTCCGGGTGAGAAGACTCCAAAGGACACTTCGTGCTCTGGGAGTCGGCCCTGACGCCGGCAGCGGCGGGGCGCTTGAGCCGAAGAAGGCGACCGTCAGGAGACAAGACGCCCGAGACGGCTGAAGGTGGGGTAACGGAGAGAAACACACCACTCCGCTGCGGGACGCCACCGGAAGTTCGCTACCTACTGGACCGCGGCCTCGCTGAGTGACCTTGGGCAAGTCCCACCCAGTCTTCCGTCCTGCCGCCCCCGAGCGCCCTCACCCAAGGGAACCCCGGGCGCAGCCGCGAGAGCGTCTCCCCGCGGCGCCAGCCCTGAGGTCACGCAGCGCGCGAGTCGCTGGGCCTCTTACCCGAGCGTGCACTGTCCCCATGGTTCCCTCTCCGGCCTCCGCCTCGCCGAGGTGCCGGGACACGGTAAAGGATCGGCTGGTAAGGACAGAGGTCGGGTCCGCGGTGGCAGAGCTGCCAGTCCGCGAACCGCCCACAAGCCCCCGGACGCAGCGAACAGGGGGCGGCCATGATGCCCCGCCTTCTCCCCGCCCCCTGGCTCACAGTGCCTCCGCTCATTGGCCCTTAAGAGCTGGTGACCCGGATGTTCACAGGACCCCCCCCCCCCAGGAAGCCCTGCAGCTTGGAGACGACGCGGGCGCAGAGCGTTCGAAGTCAGTCCCGAATGGGCAGGCTTGTGAGCGTGGGTCTGCGGGAGGGTCCGCGGGGAGCCGGTCACCACCAGTTGGAGGGTGCGCCGGGGCTTCACCCAGGTCTCGACTTACCCTTCATGGCATCGCGGCCCGGTGGGTTCTGCGCTTGTCTCCACGCTCCGGGCCGATGCTCGCCACACCCGGCTGCAGAGGTGGGCCTCGCCCAGCGCCAGGAGCTGCACAAGCCTGGGTTGAAGCCCTGCTCCCTTCTGCTGACCTCACGGACCCTTCGAATCACTGAAACCTCCAAGGTCTCAGTCTCGTCACGGCTAAGTGAAGGTGGTGGTCACGTCGACTTCACAGGGTTGGATTGAAAGGGCTCATGCGAGACGGGATGTGGAAACCCCTGGCACTGTGCAGGACCCTCCGTGAGCAGTGGGTACCTGCCCACTACCCTTCATGCATTCAACTGCAACTAGTTAATATTAGTGAGATTCATCATTAGTGAGCATGGTTCGGATGGGAGCCATTCAGGAGAGAACAAGACGGCTGTCCATGGGGCTTAATTTTGGTGGAGGAAACTCCCCCCTCAAAAAGCGGTACGTAATAGTTACACGTTGTGATAAATTAAATGAGAGAAACAAAAAGAGAAAGGAGAAGAGGGATTGTCAGTATTTCCATTATTTCCTGGAAATAAAGTATTTCACATCCTCTCTCCCTCCACCCAAGATCCTGACACCCTTTTCCATTTAAATAGCACCCTAGGCCTCCAGCACCCCTGGGATAAATATTCAAAGTCCACGTTCCCCTTCTTGTCCAGAAAGAGGCTGAAGTCCTCCTTCCTTTACCTTGCAGGGTGACCTATGCATCTGTCTTCCCAGCTCCTGACACCCAGGAAACCTGCCCCTGGCCAACAAAGAGGCTTTTGAGATCTCTGATCGCCAGCTCAGACTCAAAGTCTATCTTAGGTATGAAAACTTTGACAGAAATTTCCAGAAATTTTTGAGCACAAGTCACACAAGACTCGAAACTCCTGCCAATTCCCTGAGCCTGTTTCCTCAACTGTATAATGGGGTTGGTAACAGTTCCTAAGGCATAATGGTATACTGAGGATTTAATGAGAGAAAGCATGGGGTCTGGCGCACTGCACCCAGTGAATAAACTAGATTGTCCTGCATTTTCTCCCTCCTCTTGAGTAAGCCTCTGATGGAAGATAAGCCATGCAGAAAGCCCTGCAGATTGCAACAAGAGTCCGGAGCCAAATACTTGAGAGCCTGTTGTGCTCAAGGCACTGGGCCAGGGTGACAGGACACACCTGGAAGGAACAGTGTCACGGCTTTACTCTCAGACATCAGCTCTGACAGTCACAATGTACATTAACATATCAAAGGCTCTGAGAAGTTGTGGTATATATACCTGCTTCCCTTCCTTTAACCCAGCATTTCCTGAACTTTGGGGGTCATGGAGACTTTGACAGTTTGGTTTCTGAGGCTTTCTGTGGCCTTCAGTGGTGCCGTTGACCAGTACTTCTGCTTCTCTTTTGGGCAGAAGGTAGGGTTGTATTTCCCTGTCTCCATGCATGTGACTTGGTTGAGTAGAAGGACAGGTGTCACCTCTGGACGAAAACCTTTAGCACCATACCCCCCATCCCCGCTCCGGGTGATCAGGGACCCTCCAGGTAGTGGGATAGTTTCAGGTAGGACCAGCCAAGTCTGATGGGTATGTAGTGGGAGTGAGGAGTAAACCTTTTGGGAGTCTTTGTTAAACATAACCCAGCCTGTCCTAACTGATCAGTTCACCTGATGTCATCTGCAAGCATGCCAGCATTTTAGAAAACTTGGCTGGTCTGGTCCCATCAGAAGGAGAAATGCAGGGCAGTGGTGACAGCACTGGTTTCCCTAAGAAAACCAAACCCCAAGTCACAGAGATTTTGAGCACTTGATGCTAGACTTCCCCCAGATGCCCGGAGGTCACCCACCTCATTAGTTTGGAACACTTGGTGGCATACCCTCCCCGGGGTCACCAATCTTGTTTCTTTGTCCCTTTCCCAGGAAGTGAGAACCTGTTCCCAGGGTCTGAGGAGTGAAGGGGAGCCAGTGAGAGGAAGGAGTTCAGGGAGGGCATTCTGCAAGGTGCGGTGGGGTGACTAGGGGACCAGGCTCGGAGACACTTGGGGGCACTTGGGGAGGGACGTTCAGGCGGGTGTAGCCTGCGGAGGATGTGAGGCCAGTTCCTGGGTGCCTGGGCTGAGGGGGTGACTTGATAAGGTCTGGGCCTGATGAGGGCGTCCTCCCACATTGGGAGATTGTTACAGCAACCCAGGGCAGGGGCAGCAGCCAGGGACAAGAGGCCAGATTTCAGAGACCTTAAGTAGAGGTGGAGGTGTGGCAGGATTGGCACCAGCTGCAGAGGAAGTGGAGCTCCATGAGCTCCTAGTTCTGGGCTTGGATGCCTTGGGAGATGATACTGGGCAGCTGATTGGAGAGCTGAGGAGCTGCTGGCGGGCGGGCTGCCAAAGGGTGGCCAGGTGGAGCCAGCTGGGGTGGGGGGCAACCCTCAGCTGAGCTAGAGACTGAGGGGGCCTTGGAGTGAGTGAGGCCTCCCTGGGAGCTGCTGGGAACTCTCAGTAGAGCAGGCACATTGCACCTTGAGGAAGAGTCCAGCGTTCAGGATGGCACAGGAGCCACCCCATTGTCTGGCATCCCAGAGGAAGGAGAGGGATTCTAGGAGGAGGGTCTGGTCCACAGCATCCAGGACAGAGCATGTGGAGGCCACTGAGAAGAAAAGAAAATGTGACTCCTTGGAAAGGATGTAGAGAGGACGGAAAGCATCTCAGAATCACATTTATTATGAATTATTTTCTGACAAAAGTAACACATGTTCACCAGAGAAATTTGAAAATCATATAAGCACTACAAATAAAATAGAATGATGGATAATGATAACCACTAGCAATGTTTTGGTATACATCCTCTTTGTTTCCTACACATACACCCACACACACATTTGGTATTTTAACCAGACTGGGCTCATGCTGTGCACCAAGTTTTGCTGTATTTGTCAAATAAAGACTGTTGCTACCTGGCATTAAAGAGCCTCCCACTGATGATTCCTGAGAGTGGAATACCCCAAAGCCTAAGCACCGTAAAGAGGAGGGTGGGTGGTCTGACAAGGTGACAGTAACTCAAGAAATGTTTTCACACACTGGTAAGAACTCCCAGCAGTGCTGGACTGGTGAGGGGCAGGGAGGCGGCGTTTAAGGCACAGGTCAGGAGAGGAGCCCTTGCCCTTTCTAAGAGTATCACACTTCCTTGTCTTGGTACACATTTTTTTTATTATAATTTTAAAAATTATAAAACAAGCACATTGTAAGAAGGTTGAGCAATTTCAGAAAAGTACTAGGAAAAATTAAGTCCCAAGTAATCCTATCAGCTGTTTAACATATTTCTTATAACAATCACAGAACTAGTGTTTTTACTGTCTATACAGAAATATATTGGTTATTGTAAAATATGGCTAAAGTGTAGCTCTCTCTGCTAATGATTGACGCTGTGGTTCTGACAGAAGGCAGCTGGTAGAGGAACCTGAGAGTCAGGCTCAAGGAAGGTGTGAGGGTGTGTGCCAAGGGGCCCAGGCGTCAGGTGCGGCCACCCCCACCCACAGGCCAGCTCAGCAAGAGGACAGTGCCTTGTTCTGCCCTGCCCCGCCTCACTTAAGGAGAGAGAACGACCAGAGCCAGAGCCTTGCTGCTCACGCGCAGGGAGCCCAGGTGTGGGTTGTATGTGCTGGGCCGTCACCTCCTAGGCTCGCAAGTCCCTGTCTTCTGGGGGTTCACAGTCTCACTGCAGCCCAAGAGAATGGGCTCCTGCAGAGTGTGGGGAAGTTGGGGCTCCTATGGCTGCCAGGATCCTCACTGAACTTAAACCACCTAATGATGTAACTGGCCTGTTGCTAGGCTACCACTTCCACACCTTTAGGCAATAAGCTGTTACTGCGCTATCTCGAGAGCTCAGCCCAGTGCTGTGTGGAGGCAGAGATGCTAGTGCTCGACCTACCCCTACCGCTGGAAGAACAAGCCAGGTAATAAACCCTTTCACCCCAAAGAAACATTCTACTGTCATTTCGTTGGTCACGCTGAATCCATAGCGAACTTGCCTGGGGCTGAAACCCATTGCAAGACAAGCCTTTGCCCTAGAACCACAGTTCTCTCCAAGGACACATCTTCACGAGAAAGTGCTCGGTCTGACTGGCTGGTTCTTCAACGGGGAAACTTAAACAATGCAGGTGAGAGTTGCAAGTTTCTGTGGCAACATTTAGGATTTTGAGCTTGTTATTGTTTCTTTTCTTTTTGTGACACTGGAACCGAATGTATAAGAAAAACAAACATGCATTTCACCTTGAGTCCGACCACATTGCCTGCCAAATGCCCACACCTGGGAAAGGTAGATCCCTGTCTCTTGCTTGTCTCCATCCATTATGGCCATGGGGGTGCAGCTGATGGGGGTGGGGGGAGGCAGAGAACAGAGGAGTGCAGACTAGAAGCTGTTTTGCTGTGTTTGGGGGCTGGGGTGACCCTCTGACACACTGGGTTTTTAAAAGACTGATTCTATTAACATCTCACTGAGTCACATAATATATATTCAGCAGATCATAAGATTCCCTTACATTTAATACAAAACTATTAAATGTTTAGGTCCAAAAAGTGTTCCAAAATATGAGCAAGTTACCATATTTTAACACCCCCTGGCTGGCAATGCTGCCCTTGGAAAAGGATGGCACCCCCACCCCACCACACTGACCCTATGGGGAGATGGGACCATGTTCCTTTCTTCCAACCACAAAGGGCAGACTAGCCCCCAGCTACACTGGCCATTCTAAGACCTCACACTGGGGCAGCAGAGAGGGCTGCACGGCTGAGTAGAAGCGGACCCCCATGCTGGGCTTTCTGGTGCCATTTCCCAACCAACGGAGCTAACTGGCTCAGGTGCTTAAACATTAGATGTCCCCAAGCTCTGGATTACCATGTATACCAAAAGTAGCTTCCAAATTTTCATAAAAACAAATAAATTGCCTTTGATTTCAATAAACTACAAATTAAGCAAGAGGCTGGATTCCGGATGTCACAGACACTGGGGCATTAAATGGCAGCGCAGAGGTGGATGCAAAGACCGGAAAGGTCTAGGATGTCTGAAAGAAGGCCCCAGACTTGCCTTCTTAAGTGACTCAGAAACTCCTTCAGTGGCAAAGCGGGAAGGCAGAGCCTCTCCTGAGCCCAGCACTCTGCAGCCCGAGAAAACCACGCCAGACTGGAGGATGGATTTGCTGGGTGGCCTCAAATCCTCCCCTTGGCCCCTACTGCACAGTCCAGAGGGTGGGCGCCCTGGTCCACAGTGCCGTGGTGTTCTGGTTGGTGCGGGAAAGGCCGCTGGCTGCTGGCTGGCACTTGGGATCTGAAACAAATGAAGAATGCCAACTCGGCCACTGTCTCCCTGCTCTGAGGTCTTCAGCTATGGCAAGGATGGACGTACACTGCCAGCCAACACGGAACACATTCTAGGTGCTGCAGGGTGACCCAGCCTAAGGCCACAGCTTCCCCCTGCCCCTCAGTGCTGGTGAGCCTGCTGCCACTCTGACCCCGGATGCAGCCTCCTCCACACGGCCACTGTGGTCACTTCCCAGAGCAAACCAGACTCTGCTGCACCCCTACGTTAAGCCCTTCATGTCTGCCAACAGCAGTAGGAGATCCAGCCTCCTCGGTGCCCACACATGCCCAGTGCTGTGCTAGGGGCTCCCCAAAGCCTCACAGAAGCCCAGTGAAGAGGGAAGGGTCACCCCTGCTCAATAGGCTGAAAGCCAAGGGCTTCATTTTCAGGATTTCAGGAAAACACCTAATCCCATAAAGGGAATGAGGTTTCTCTTGGCCCAAATCAGGTTTTAGGATTCAGACAGTAGTGGCACCAGAGTGCAACATCAATGATGCGGCTTGTGGGCCTCCACCCCTGGGGAATCCCATGCACGTGATTCAGCAAGTCTGAGGTCAACTGGGAATCTGCATTAACAGGCACCCTGCCGCCCCCACTCAGGTGCACACTGAGGAGCCCTACCCAGCCCTGTGCTGCCCAGCAAAGTGGGGCTGTCACACCCGACCTGCCCCTGTCCCCTCCGCCTCTCCCTGCTTTATCAGTCAGCCCTCTCCTCAGCTGCCATCCATACTGGGCTCCAGTGCACCCACTTCCCCAAACCCCCAACCCCCGGGGCTCCATGGCACCTGTCCAGTCAGTTTTCAGCAACAAATGGTCCTATCTCTGGCCTACTCAGCTATCTTCCACAGGACAGGGCCCCCCACAATAAAAGATAAGCTCCTTGCTGTTACTGGCGCATAAGGCCTGATCACATGCACCCACAGTCCATTCACTTACCTGGAGGGGAACAGATGCACCATCAGTCGGGAACAGGTCTGGCAGGTCATCCTCTGCAGCCACCGGATGTCATCAGGAGCGTCTGGAAGCCACATCACCAGACTGCAGAAAAAAACAAGACACACACGCACACATCGTATTAGCACGAAGGCAGCCAGAACAAAAGGAGTGAAACAAAAACTAGACACCAGGCAGACATTTTACAGTCACACCCTTTGCCAGGTAAACTGCAGGGTCCCTGCTAATCCCAACCAGATAAATTCCCAGGTGGATTTGGGATGTTCTGCCAAAGATAAACAAGCCCACCTAAAAGCCGTAAAGCAAAGTCAGGCCACTTTTGATTCAGGAAAGCTCAAGAGATTCATACAGAAATAAAATGAAAAGGTCTTGGCTTCCAGGGTCCTAGTGTTTGTGGCAAGATGCCCGCTGACAGAGTGCCTTGTGGATGAGACACCTTCCCTCCGCACCAGCCCTGCTGTCCCTGCTGTGTTTGGCCTCCTGCCCAGTGAAGGAAGCTACCAAGGAGGCCTGACCGCTGACCCCTGCAGACGCCCGACCCTCCAACACTAAAATGATGCCCGTCTCAGGCTTTAATAAAGTCCTGAACAGACCTCCACTCAGGGCTAATTCAGGAGGGTGGGGAGGGAACAGGGAAGGTTCACCAAGGGCAGGAGAACTGGGCTGAATTCTGAAGGACAGTTTGGCCTTCAAAAGATGGACTGCTGGACATGCAAACTTACTGAAAAGAAAATAAATCTGAAGAAAGCTGAGGTAAACCACTATGCAGAATTCCAGCAGGCACACAAGTGTTTGCCTTATGTCCCTCCCAACGTAGCAGGAGGAAAACCCCAGAATGAAAGTGCAGATCTACGAGGGGCAGCAAGCCCGCATCAGCGGTGGGAGAGCAGGGGGGCTGGGCAGGGGCTCGCTTTCCGGCTTGTTCATGGAGACGGTGAGGTCACCCCCCGTACAGGAAGCCAGGCCCCAAGTTAGGGGCCCCCGCCTGGAATCTCTCACCTCATCCACACCCAGCCCGGAAAGGAAGACACAAAGCCACATGAGATGCTCACCTCTGGACCATAGCAATGGCTGACTCCACGGGCAACGTACAGGGCAGCAGCATATAGGACAGCACCTTAACTGGTAAGAAGTTGCAAATCTTGCTCATGTACCCACTTTGGTTTTTAATTGCTGCATTCAGTACTGAAAAACACAACAACAGGGTTTACCTCCTGCCAGGGGGAAACACAAAGCACCTTACCCAGGTGATGGCTGGAATTTCCATGAAATACACAAATCCCAACAGCCAAAGGATCAGAAGCATTCACAAATGAGATGGATCCTGGGATAGCCTACAGGATATACAGGGTTCCCAATTAATTGCTCGCTTTTAAACTGACAACTATTTTTGGAGGAGTACACCGACTTTCCCAAGACCCACCTTTGCGGTTTCCGTTGCTCCTCCGGCTGGAGACCATCCCCTTCTACCCGGAAGCCCTAGCCCGCTATGTCCACTCCGTAATGACCTAAGGATGCCTCAGATCATGTGAACCTGGGCAGCTACTGGTTAGTGTGATTTCTCAGGCTTTAGTGCCTCGGGCAGGGAGTGGGGTACTGTTCCGTGAATTTCTCCAAATGCACAATTGGAAGCTGGCTTCTGCATTCCTCTGTCCATCTAATAAGGACATGATAAAATATACCAACGTTCAATGAAGGTTCGAACTGCGGGCTTGGGCGGGAGGGAGAAGTCAGGAGAGGCTCCTCAGGAGGAAGGCTCTGAGATGGGTGGGCAGGCAGAGAAGGGCCCACCCTAACCCAACCCCTAGCACCCCTGAAGTCCACTGTGACTAGACCACAGGAGCCAAGCGTGTGTCTGGTAGACTCAAAATGGGCTCAGCTGGAGTTTGTTTTCCTCTGGCCATGTCCCCATGGGAAGGGAGGCTGAGCAGGGTGCCTGGGTGGGTGAGGAGGGTCCGCCTCATCTCTTCACGTGGCGGCACTGCCTTCCTCCATAACACATGGGAGAGAAGGCCAGAAAACAACATCCTCCACCATTCCACCCCTGGGGGCCGGTCAGCACCTATCCTGAGCTTGGGCATCAGCGCCTCCGGGATGCTCTCGTGGGAGGGCAGGATGCGGAGACGCAGGTGGCCCGACCGCGGCTCGTCTGCCCCAGGCCGCGTGTCCCGGGCAGCCACTCCCTGGGAAGACTCTGTGCTGCTGTATTCCCGGGGCTGCGTGAGGCCCTCTGAGGCCGCGCTCAGGCACGGACGGGGCACACTGCAGATGCCTGTGGGACGGGAACCAACCATCAGGTGGACCTGGGCTGCAGCAGGCACCGCGCACCCGCCCACCCCCAGAATGAGAAGGGCCGCAAGCGGCCAGCGGGAAAGCATGGGCCTGCTGTCAGTCAAGTACGGGGCAGGGGGAGGTGGGCTCGGGGGCCACAGGAGAGGGAAAGAAGTGTGGGACTTGGGGGCTGGGTGGATGTGAGTCGGCTCCTGCCTCCATCACTCACTGGCTGTGTGGATTCAGGAGGTTCATCTATGAGCACGATAATGGATTTCTAACAGCTGTGCCACTGGTCAAGCCTGCATGCCAGGCCCTGGGTTAGGGACGTCCTAGTCAGGCCTGTGGCCGCTGTTCAGCTGCTACCTAGATCATCGTCTCCACTTTTCGACGAGAAGTAGCACAGAGAGGTTAAGAGATACATCCAGAGCCACACAGCCAGTATGTGGGAGGGCAGAATTTGAACCCAGGTCCAAGGTGAAAACTGGCACTCTTCCCTCACACAGCCTGGCAAGAAGCGCTGCATGTTGGTGCGGGCACTGCCCGAGGCGCTGGCTCACAGCTGATACCAGTGGGTGGGTCCCACGCTCCTGGAAGCGGCCCATGGGGATGGGGCAGGGTCAGGCAGATTCTGATGCCCACAGCTACCCCTTGCTCACCTCCTTCTCCCAACCACAGGTTGAGAAGACCAGGGGTTGTTTCTGGAGGCCCAAGCCCAGCACTGATGCTACAAACACTCAGCCACACACCAGTCTTCAGAGTTAGTAAGAATCACCTGGGTATCATTTATGCCGAACTTCCCTTGCTACTGATGTGCAAACGGGTGGCCCAAGGAGGGGAGGTGGCTTGTCCAAAGTCACTGACTTTAGAGTCACCAGTAACCTGAGTCCACCCCTCAGCCAGGGTGCAGAGTGCCCACCCCACTCAGCCCCAACTGCTAAAGCCAGGACTTCACCCTGGAGACATCCTCTTCCCGAATCCCTGGTTGGTCATCTCCAAGTCCTGTTCCCTGGGGCCCCGCCTACCACCCTTGCTGCCGGACCCTGGCCAAGTCTGGGTGACGCACTGGCCTCCTGGATGCTGTCTCAGCCTCTCCACACTGCATCCAGGGGACCTTCCAGAATTCCTCTCAGACTCCCTCACTCCTGTTCCAGCAACCCTCACTGGCTCCCTATTACTGTAGGATGTAAACCCTTGTCCACAAAGGCCCAGCCTTGCTCTCCACTCTTCACTTACTACCATGTCTCAGTGTCCCCTGCCCCCACCACCCCAGTTACACAGGCCTTCCTATCCTCCAACAGGTGACCCTCACCCTCGTGTCCCCAGGCCTAGAACGCTCCTATCCATCCCCAATGTGGAGTCACAGCCTGCTGAAGCCCTGTGCGCGCGTGTGGAGTCACAGCCTGCTGAAGCCCTGTGCGCGCGCCTTGCAGACCCCTCCTGCATGGTCCCACAGCATGCTGTGTCTTCCTGTTGGGGCACCAGCACACCGTCACCCATCCTACCACACGACAGTGAGCTCTGGGAAGGCAGGGGCCACATCTGTCTGTTCTCTGTGCTGTCCCTAGCACATAGCCAATTGCTTGGCACCCAGGAGACACACAATAAATATTTTCTGAGTGCAGAAATACATGTTTGCCCTTTTAAGCACACCCTCTCCTTGGCCATGGCCAGACTAATTCAGAGAATCAACACATTGACCAACTTTTAGTATTGAAGAAAAATAGCTCCGAACATGTCTAATGAGTGGTTCCATTCTAATATTTCGAGAGCCAACTCCTGCAGGGCAGATGAGCCAGGGTGACTCCACGACAGGCACCTGCCTCAGAAAGGACAGCTGGGCTGATGGGCATGGCTCACACCTGGCAGGAGATCCTATTCTCTGCTTCACTGGGGCCCGGGCTCAGGACCCCTGCCTAACATCCTCTCTACTGCACCTGAAGATTAACAACAGTTCAAGGAGAAACAAACCCGATGGAGTTGCCGCCAGTGGTCAGACAGGCTGTACTACGTAAGGACAGCACCCTGGAGCCATGACACCCCACGTTCAAATTCTAGCTCAGTGAGCAGAGTGAAGTGAGACCCCTATCTTACCTCTGCAGGCCTCCAGTTCCCCATCTGTTAAAGGGGCGAAGATTTCCTCCCTCCTGGGCTAACGAGCAGACTGAGCAAGACAGTGAATGCAGGGCTGAGCGCCGGTGATGGAACTGACATCCACCTCTGGTTTACTGAGACTGCTAACATAAAGTGCATCTAGGGGGCACATCTGACCCCACCCCGTCCATACATACCATTCTTTTCCAAGAACTTGAGCGTATCTAAATACCCTTGGAAGCACAGTTCTGCAAGCACCTGTCAACAAAGAAAGGAAGTTAGCTGCAGGGGGCATCGCTGAGTGCCTTTAAACATCGGCCTGCAGAGACAGACTGGAGTCCTCTGGGCTCAGAGCTGCTTCTGTGCGCCCAGCACAGCCCCGGGGAGGCTGCACTCAGGGCTCTGTGCTCCCACGACACAGCAGTCTCGCTTTCCTGCAAGACTCGGCTTGCGTGACACCCCCTCCAGGGAGCCTTAGCTGGCACCCCACCATGAGGGGGGCAGGTTTCTCTGGGCTCCCTTGGTCCCAGGATGAGGCTCCACTCTAACAAATACTGTGCTGGTTGTCACTGGGACAATGCCAGCGGCCTCCTCTACTCGCCTGTATATGCCCTGCACACACAAACTGACTGTGTTTTCCAGCCTCCTCTCCCTGGGGAGCTGGGCCTGGTGGTGCCTGCAGGCTGCACACAGCCTTCTCTCCCCAGAGAACTGTTAGTGCACACAGTCTACAGAGTCTCTCCCCTGTTAGGGCCATACGGCTTTCTACACAACAAAATATTAAACCACCAAGAGCAGTGTGGTTCGTGGCTACAAATAAGAATCATAAGAGTAACTAGAAAAAAAATCCTACTGGCCAGGCTGTACTCTTGACTACTCACGCCACAGCCTTGGTAGTGGGATCGGAGCTGCAGCGCCGTTTACCATTCCCGGGGAGTCCGAGGATCAGAATGGGGCAGCACTGAGCTGCTGGCCATGGCTGAACAGGTTCCTGTTCAACGAGGGCAGTCTGTCTCTGCAGAGAAGAAGCGGTGGACCCCCTGGCAAACAGGGCAGTGAAGAACACACAGCCCCCACTGACCTTGACATCCGGAGGAAACATTGCTCGGCACAGAAGGTAGACATTCTCTGAGCAGACGTATAAACTGAGCTTGTTCATGTCCACATGAAGAAAGTTCATGGTCTTAACTTTAGGGCAGATGTCACACTCCCCATAGAAGGGGGACACGGTGATGGTTGTCTTGGCATCAGTGAAGGGTATATTGTCACTAATTCCCCCATCTATGTATCGCTTTTAGGGGAGAGAAAAGAGGACAAGGAGTCAGAGGCTCTAATGTTTTATGTTCTTTTCAGATTACAGGCAGAGCCACACACTGATACAGTGGGAGGGCTTTGAAATCTTTTAACAAACCTTACTGAGCATTTCTGTGCCGGGTGAGGCTCTAAGCTGCACTCAGAGTTGCTATATACTTTTGCACAGTTTGTGCACTGCATAAAAAGTGCCTGGAAAAGAGGCAAAGGCTAGAGTCCAGTCCCTGTTGCACTGGCCGAGTCCTAAACCCAGGCAGGCTGCCGTACCTGTGCACATGTAATTTCTCTAAAGGGGCTCTATAGACCTGGAGCACTGTGTGGGGACAGAGTGTGATATAGATCCTGCCCCAAAGGAGAGGTCATGGCTTCAATTCCAGACCCCCCTTTCTGCTTAGGAAATCAGAACCAATACTTTGAGGGGCTTTGGAAACTTAAATGACAGGGAAGCTTGGACTTAGATGGCCCTTAGAAAATGTCCTCTTTTCTCAGAGCTGAGTGGCATTTGGGATTAGTTATGATGAACGTCAGTTTTTCTGCACCCATATCCTTCAAAACCTGCAGGCCGGGGCAGGCAGGTTTTGGTATAGTTTTGATAGTCAAGTTCAAGGAGAAACAAACCCGATGGAGTTGCCGCCAGTGGTCAGACAGGCTGTACTACGTAAGGACAGCACCCTGGAGCCATGACACCCCACGTTCAAATTCTAGCTCAGTGAGCAGAGTGAAGTGAGACCCCTATCTTACCTCTGCAGGCCTCTAGTTCCCCATCTGTTAAAGGGGCGAAGATTTCCTCCCTCCTGGGCTAACGAGCAGACTGAGCAAGACAGTGAATGCAGGGCTGAGCGCCGGTGATGGAACTGACATCCACCTCTGGTTTACTGAGACTGCTAACATAAAGTGCATCTAGGGGGCACATCTGACCCCACCCCGTCCATACATACCATTCTTTTCCAAGAACTTGAGCGTATCTAAATACCCTTGGAAGCACAGTTCTGCAAGCACCTGTCAACAAAGAAAGGAAGTTAGCTGCAGGGGGCATCGCTGAGTGCCTTTAAACATCGGCCTGCAGAGACAGACTGGAGTCCTCTGGGCTCAGAGCTGCTTCTGTGCGCCCAGCACAGCCCCGGGGAGGCTGCACTCAGGGCTCTGTGCTCCCACGACACAGCAGTCTCGCTTTCCTGCAAGACTCGGCTTGCGTGACACCCCCTCCAGGGAGCCTTAGCTGGCACCCCACCATGAGGGGGGCAGGTTTCTCTGGGCTCCCTTGGTCCCAGGATGAGGCTCCACTCTAACAAATACTGTGCTGGTTGTCACTGGGACAATGCCAGCGGCCTCCTCTACTCGCCTGTATATGCCCTGCACACACAAACTGACTGTGTTTTCCAGCCTCCTCTCCCTGGGGAGCTGGGCCTGGTGGTGCCTGCAGGCTGCACACAGCCTTCTCTCCCCAGAGAACTGTTAGTGCACACAGTCTACAGAGTCTCTCCCCTGTTAGGGCCATACGGCTTTCTACACAACAAAATATTAAACCACCAAGAGCAGTGTGGTTCGTGGCTACAAATAAGAATCATAAGAGTAACTAGAAAAAAAATCCTACTGGCCAGGCTGTACTCTTGACTACTCACGCCACAGCCTTGGTAGTGGGATCGGAGCTGCAGCACCGTTTACCATTCCCGGGGAGTCCGAGGATCAGAATGGGGCAGCACTGAGCTGCTGGCCATGGCTGAACAGGTTCCTGTTCAACGAGGGCAGTCTGTCTCTGCAGAGAAGAAGCGGTGGACCCCCTGGCAAACAGGGCAGTGAAGAACACACAGCCCCCACTGACCTTGACATCCGGAGGAAACATTGCTCGGCACAGAAGGTAGACATTCTCTGAGCAGACGTATAAACTGAGCTTGTTCATGTCCACATGAAGAAAGTTCATGGTCTTAACTTTAGGGCAGATGTCACACTCCCCATAGAAGGGGGACACGGTGATGGTTGTCTTGGCATCAGTGAAGGGTATATTGTCACTAATTCCCCCATCTATGTATCGCTTTTAGGGGAGAGAAAAGAGGACAAGGAGTCAGAGGCTCTAATGTTTTATGTTCTTTTCAGATTACAGGCAGAGCCACACACTGATACAGTGGGAGGGCTTTGAAATCTTTTAACAAACCTTACTGAGCATTTCTGTGCCGGGTGAGGCTCTAAGCTGCACTCAGAGTTGCTATATACTTTTGCACAGTTTGTGCACTGCATAAAAAGTGCCTGGAAAAGAGGCAAAGGCTAGAGTCCAGTCCCTGTTGCACTGGCCGAGTCCTAAACCCAGGCAGGCTGCCGTACCTGTGCACATGTAATTTCTCTAAAGGGGCTCTATAGACCTGGAGCACTGTGTGGGGACAGAGTGTGATATAGATCCTGCCCCAAAGGAGAGGTCATGGCTTCAATTCCAGACCCCCCTTTCTGCTTAGGAAATCAGAACCAATACTTTGAGGGGCTTTGGAAACTTAAATGACAGGGAAGCTTGGACTTAGATGGCCCTTAGAAAATGTCCTCTTTTCTCAGAGCTGAGTGGCATTTGGGATTAGTTATGATGAACGTCAGTTTTTCTGCACCCATATCCTTCAAAACCTGCAGGCCGGGGCAGGCAGGTTTTGGTATAGTTTTGATAGTCTCCATCTATCAAACCAAAGTCTAGAATGATCCCCAACCCCATACAGCCCAGCTGTCAGAACCCACAGAGGAAGACCTTCAAATATTATGACTGGAAGCCTTCCCCAGCCAATCCTTCCAGAAAGGGGAAATCTCAGGGCACATGTTGGCCTAAAACAAGTCCAGAAAAAATCAGGCATGTTTAGCCATGCCTTAGCCATTAAGCAACTCTTGCCTTGAGTCCAAAAATGATCAGATGTGTACACAGCAGTGTTTTCAAGATGGCAACCACACAATGTCTATGGAAGATGTAGGAAAGCATTAAAAACCTCACTGGCAGGAAGGCACATGAAACGACATGGACACAGAAACGTCAGGGATCTTTAGTTATTAACACTAAGGAAGGTGGAAGCAGGTTCACTATTCTTCACTCCAGGGATATTCTAAAATCCAATTACTCCTCTGTCATCTAGAATTTTTCCTTCCACTCTGAGGTTTGCTATAGTAACGCTCTGAGTTCGCTTGGGGGATCACAAGGACGAGCTGTCCTTTCAGCAGGTTTCACAGGATCCATGCTCTGCCCTCCACGGATGCGTGTGTTCACCAGAACTGGCCTGGGGGAAGGGCCAGTAACAATGATAATGATGAAATAACTTCCATTTACTGAATACTTGCATGTGCCAGACTCTGTACTTAGCATTTCATTGCACTATATTATGTAATCCCTGTAATGCTATGATATTGCATTGTTTTTAACTTATTTTGTAAACCAGGCTCAGAGAGGTTAAGAACTGTGTCCAAAGTGGCCCGGCTAACATGTGCTACAGCAGGGATTCAATTCTAGGTTTGTCTGCCAGGCAGAGGCTGTAAGAATTTGGGGTGGTCACTTTATTGCTCTAGGCCTCAATGTTCTCATCTGTGAACAGGGACACTGTCCGTCACGGGGTAGCTCTAGAGCGTAAGTGAGGCCACGTGCAACTTGACCTGAGACATTGAGACTTCGTGTCTTCTCTCCTTAGACAGGGTTTCACAACTTGGCACCACTGACATCAGGTAATTCTTCATTAAGAGGATTATCCTGGGCACTGCCCGGTGTTGAGCAATACCCCTGGCCTCTGCATACCAGAAGCCAGCAGCACTCCCCCAGTTGTGACAACCTAAACTGTCTCTAGACATGGCTAGATGCCCTGGAGTTGGGAGGACAGATCCTGTCAGGTGGGGAGCCCTTGCTCTAGAAGGAGGCTGCGAAGTGGTCCGGCAGAGCCTGGCTTCTCGGTCAGAGTCTTCGGAACAGACACCCCACCTTCAGTTTCTCTACCCCAGGCAGGACTCAGGAATCAGCCAAAACACACATCTGTTGAATGGACCCAAACTGCAGCCCTGTTGGCAGCTTCTGCCCAAAGCCATGGGCTGGAAAGGGCAGTCAGACTCCCCGAGACTGAAGCTCTACCTTAAGCAAGTACCCAATTCTTAAGCATCTTATACTTTAACTAGGGGACCTATCTTGAGGCTTGTGAAGATTAAGTGAACCAGCTTGCCTTACAGATAAGCCAGTTTATTACATGTACATGAATGTGGGTTGCTGCCCAGGAAACCTAGAAGGGGGGCAGTGTGGGTCCCTGTCTGAAAGGCTGTGGGGCCAGGGCTTTGCATGTGCTGACGGTCCCAGGAGTCTGGACCCAGCGTCCCTCAGGCAGGAGTGGTGAGAGCACAGGTGAAACGCAGACTCACCACGCCTCTGAAGGAAGGAGGGATGAAGCCACAGTAGAAAGGGAGGAAGCAGGAACAAAACAAGGCCTGTGAAGACAAAAAGGGGTTGAAACCACAGGCCGGAACAACCTGCCCTTTATTCCCCGGGGCCTTTGTCAGCTTTCTCTGAATGAGCAGAGCAACATGCCAGAACATGCTCTTTGCACAGAGTAGGCACTTTAATAAACTATCTGAATGAAATATGGAATTAACCGACACACTTGGATTTTAGTATAAGCTCCTTGACGCTGTGCACTTCGGCTTGCTGTCCCCACTCCCCACGAGTCACACTGCTCACAGGCAAAGCCAAGAATTGTTGACTCGCCGATTCCTGGGACCGGACTAGATCAGGGCTCACAAATGCTAATGTTCATGGGAATTACCCGGAAAACTGTTGAGCAACAGACTATGTCCCACCCCAGGGTTCTGGCTGGCTGGCTTTGAGTAGCATGATGCTAGATGCTAGAGGGTTAAGCAGGATCCTACACTGATTCATTGAGAGTGTTAGGCAGGAAAATAGACATGAGCAGGGTGGAGGGAGAATAAGGCCAGTAAAACTCACGAAAAGGGACTCAAAGAGTTAACCATATATGCATAGAGAGCCAGAAAAAAAACAGAGTTAATCAGTTAAAGCTCCAAAGGCCAGGAGTAACTTGGAATGTCCAGCTATTCCCCAAAGAAAAGTATCTGAGCACAGCCCATGTCTTCATTGTGCCAATTAGATCACGCCACTTTAAAATTTACTTCAGCCTGCTAAAAGGCCCAGTTTATTCTTTAACTTAACCTATCTGCTGTTTTTTTCCTCTTCCAACCCCTAATCATGTAATTTGCAACCTGGGCAGGAGATAAGCATCATGATTAATTTAGCCAACAAGCCCAGCTATAAACAGCATAATAAAAACAGGAATGATTCCATCTTAAAGCTGAGATTGCGTTTTAAAACCCAAGAAGTTAAGAAGATTCTTAACATACTCTTTAGCAAACAGACAATAACTCAGCCCACCTTGAGGGCAGGGCAAGCGGTCCTAATTGGTATGTTCCCAGAGGGAAGCTGCTATCCTGGGAAGAAAGTAGAGCAGTAAATTTCTCGTGTTAATTTTGCAGAATTACCTATGATAACAGAAGAGACTTACTGTCTCTCATCAAAGATAAACATCTTGGGACCACCTGACAAGCCCACACCCCTAGCCCTTTGCCACATGCCTGAAAAATCCTTGAAAGGGGGAACCCCTAACCTTTCAGCACGCCTCTTCTTTGAGGTAATCCACACTCCCCTTTCTCCGAGTGTGCACTTTCTCTCTTTAAATAAAACTAAAACCTTTCAGGGCGCCTCTCCTCCCTGAGATCACCTGCACTTTTCCTCTCTTTAAGTACATAACTTTAAATAAAACTTTTACTCTCCTTCACTACTGTGTCTCTGCCCTTCAATTCTTCACTGCGGTGGGGACAAGAACAGAGGAAAATAAACAACACCCCCCCCAAGAAGAGGACCAACTCATGGGGGAATGACAGGTGCTGACTATCTGGAAAAAGCTTCCAGGATGGTATGGGCTACTGACATGCTGCCTATATATGCTTATATATGCATCTTGCACAGACCTGAGTTAAGTGAAATGTAGTCTCAGTAACTCTCAAAGAAGGCATCAGTTAAATTAAGTGCTATTTTGTTATTGTAAATGATCTTGGTGCTTTATCCTGGGGACAGAGGCAAAAAACATACATTCCCACCCTTGGGGGGCTTTCCTCGCGTGTCCTCATTATTGAACACACACTGTTGGGAAGAGGGACACACAAGGGACATGGTTCCTGGAGGAGGCGGTCATGAACCTTAAAGAATGGGGGAGCATTCTTAGAAACTGAAGCTCCCTGGAAACATTCAGGGTTTACAGATACTGTGGGCCAAACACTGGATGCAGGCAGTCACGTCACTCCAGTGCAGAAACAGACATCACGGGCGACTAGGTTCTTGTGCATCTTAAGAAACAGAGCAGGTGGCCTACAACAGCCCTCTCTGTGCTGCTTCCAAAATGAAACAGCCTTTCTTACTGGACGACACCCAGATAAGCCATTTGCTTACGTCCACGACTTCGTCTTTGGACTGAAAATCAGACACCAGCACGTTTTGCCCATCAGACACTCTGGTGAGCGAGATGCACATTTTGCCGGAGATGAGCTGGTGGACGTTAGCTGGGAGGTGCCTGTGGAGGTCTTTTCGGAGCTGCTTGCCCACATTGATGGAGGGGTGGAAGATGCCAATGTTCCGTCTCCTGGTGCTCTGCACAAGGCCCATGAAGATCTGCACAGCCTTCTCTACAGAGACGGGAGACAGAGAGATAAAGCAATGTGCCACCCTGCAGATGGGAATGCTCGTGGTACAACCAGAAACCAGATGACAGGGAGGCTGCCAACCTTTTCCTAGGCCTGAGATCTAACACAGCAGCCACATGCAGCTGGAGAGCCCTTGAAACGTGGCTAGTCCAAACTGAGATGTGCAAAAGACACACTGGATTTCAAAGGCTTTGAACAAGAAAAAAAGGATATAAGCATCTCAATAATGTTTTATATTGATTAGATGTGATTATGACAATATTTTGGCCATTTAGAAGAAATAAAATTACTTTCAGCTTGTGTCGTTTGTTCCTCTCAGTGTGGCTAATAGGAAATGTCCAGTAACATGTGTGACTTGCACTATGTTTCTACTGGACTGTGTAGGTCTGGCCTAGGTCTGGGTCTCTGGGTCTGGCCACAGGTAGGAACCTCCAGAGGCCCACATGAGCTCCCTCCTCACCTCCATACCCAAAAAGCCAGAAGCCAGGAGCTCATCCCGAACACTGCAGAGAGCAGAGGAGAGCCGGCTGGGGCCTGGGCAGGAGCCCTGCCTCCACCTCTTACTAGCTGGGTGGCTCAGTAAGTCACTTTCTGCCTCTTTCAGTCTCACACTGTTTTTAACTTGGGAGACAGAGACGATTAGATACACTACAATTTTAAAGTGCTTGACCCCGAGGAGGCTCCTGATAAACAGACTCAATCTTAAACCTGTGACACCAGAATTCCCAGACTGCCCGTCAGGCACAGGGCACATCATACTCCATCTGACCTTCACCCGTTGGCCTGGCACCATCTGGCGGATCTGCACTGCCCTGACACACAGGACCACTGGTCCCAGCTCGAGACCTGCCCGGTCATAAATCCTGGGATGCAGAAGGACAGATGCCAGCCAACCTGTCCTGACCTGCCTCTGACTTCAGCTCAGCTCTCCCTGCACATCTGGCCCCCTGAGCGAGGAGAGAAGTGGCAAAATTGCACCCAGCTAGCAGGTTGTGGCGTCTCTTCTGCCAAGCCAGCATTGGCTTAGAAACAATCTCAGGAGCTCTGCCCAAGTTACAGCCCTTGGGAAATGCTCTTGATGTTCCCCCAAGTGAGACAGGAGGTTCAAGTAGAAAACTGGGGCTCCTGGAACCTGGGGAACAGCTCTGGCCAAAATCTCCAGACCACCTTCCAAGGACAAGGTGGGTCCCCAAGACTCCCCCTGTCCTTCAGGGCACAGCCCGAGGCTGCACCTGTCTTCTGCCAGTTAGCAACCCCCTCTACACTAAAGTCAGTGAACTTCAGGGTCCTGGGGCCAGTGCATTTGACTTTTTAATTTTTTATTTTTTATTAAGGTATTATTGATATACACTCTTATGAAGGTTTCACATGAAAAAACAATGTGGTTACTACATTTGCCCATATTATCAAGTCCCCCCCATACCCCAGTGCAGTCACTATCCATCAGTGTAGTAAGATGCCACAGATCCATGTGCCTTCTCTGTGCTACACTGTTCTCCCCATGATCCCCCACACCATGTGTGCTAAACATAATACCCCTCAGTCCCCTTCTCCCTCCCTCCCCACCTGCCCTCCCAC